CCACTCAGAATCAATTGGCAAGAGGTCAACAATTACAAGAATTGCTCAAACAATTCCAATCAGCCCCTATCGCGACCATCGCAAGATCACCGATCTCGCCACTGCACGAGTGTTCTCGACCACACTTGTAATACCCCTAATTTTAAAAGGATAGTCCTGGTATTTTAATAAATTATTTAAGTGTATTTTTATTTGTTTAATTGTTTATTTGTGTTTATTATTTGAATTAATTGATTATTTGCTAATTGGTTTTATTATGTGTTTTATTTAATTGTTTAATTGTTTTAAATTGTTTGATTGATTGAGTTTAGAATAAATTGTTTAAATGACGTGATTTATGAATTCTTTGAATTACCTTTAGTTTTTGGTTTTTGTTTACTGATTTAAGATTAGGGTTTATTTTTCTTTTAGGATTCACGTGTGGCCGACTACGATTTAATTAGGGTTCTGTCTCTAATTATACATAGACTAGGGTTTTAGTTAGAATTAGGGTTGTATGTTTCTAAGCCTATAAATACACTATTACATTTTAACTTAGGGTTTTAAGAACATAACACGGAAACATAAACCTAAAGTTGGTTCACGTAAGAGAGGGTTGAAAGAACAGAAAGTGGCTTGAGAAGAAAACAGAGAGGACCAAGGAGGTTGATTGTGGATTAGAGCCGGAGGAGTAGGAGGCTTGACGGTATTCAGTATTGCCGGAAACTTAGAGACGACGCCGAGATTTCATAACTGAAATCACAGGCAAGTTTTTTTCTTTCTCTCTCCCGTTGGCCTGTGTTCTCTGCACCTAGATAGTCCCTAGGAGTTTAATTGGACATTAATTGAATCTTGCATGTTTATTATATATTAAATTGATCATCTGAATGTGTTGAATTTAATCTGTCATGGTGCTTGCAAGTCTGCGTTTCAGTTTGGTCTTTATGCATGTTAAATCAGTAGCGGTTTTAATCACTGTAATTAATTCCAACTATTATAATCAAATCATTGGGATGCTACTGGGATTAAATAAGACTCTTAGGTTTAGTATTAAAGAGGGACAGAAGGGTTGGAATGGCCGGAGACGAAGCAGATGGTCAGAAACGAAGCATAACTGGACTGGAGGCTCTCAGAGAGGGAGAAAACCGGCTCCATGGAAGTGGGAGCCGACTCACACACCCTTAGAGCCAGCTCCAAGAGGCATGGAGCCGGCTCTATGCCTTAGGGAGCCTGCTCCCAAGCCCAGAGAGCAGGCTCTCTCATGTGCACACGTTCTGTAATTTTTTTCTACGGTTTTGTTTGTGCACTATTTAAGCGTTTGGGTCTGTTTGATTGGTTTTGGGTCTTCACTGGAGGTTTTAATTTTTAACTTCAGTGTTATTAAGACTTTTAATTGCATAAGTTACCCCGTTATATTAATGGAACAAACAGTGTAAAATTTAACAACTCTGCATGCTATTAACGGTTATAAGGAAATTAATTGCTTAGTTTTAATTTGGCAATATAATGAGTTGTAGCATGTTTCTAATTCTTGTTTTAGATGCACAGTAGAGTCTTTTATTTAACAGATTGGACCTGTGCATGCTCTGGATTTTAAATTGCTGAAACATTAGTTTTTTTCGGCAATTACATGAATAAAGGATTGGATTTAATTGCTGAGATATTTTACACTATTCTACAATTAACTGGATTATGGTTTTGAACTGGGTTATGGTTTTGGATTTAATTGCTGAAATATTATACACTATTCTACAATTAACTGGATAATGGTTTCGAACTTTAATTGCTGAAATATTATATACACTATTCTGCAATTAATTGGATTATGGTTTTCAACTGGATGATGGTTTTGGACTTTAATTACTGAACTGTTTATTTAGAATCTGTAATTTATATGGATGTTGTGGATCGTATGCGCCGGTTTAGCTCAAAATACTAAAACCTACCCTATTAGAATAAGGGAATGGATTGTAAAAATTGAATCCTACTTATATTTAGGTCAGATCAACTAAGTAAGTTGAGTGACCACCTGGATTAACTGTTGGTTGTAGTTAAGTTATATCAACTGAATAAGTTGAGTGACTAACTAGATTATGAATCGTATGTCAGATCAATGAACAATTGAGTGACATACTATGGTTTTAGACGGACTTTAGATATATGATTATGGTACCATGATGTGAGCTTAAGTCTCATAGTCGATGGTTAGAGCGCGTATATGCAATGGATGCGTAGCTGTCTATAATAGGTTGAGGTGTACCCTGTTAGGTCCAGGTATTCATGCCTACCTTTGGGTGCGTTTTTGCATGTTACATTTTATTCAGGTTGAGGCCCCCTTCGTAGTCTAGTGAATGTCCCTTAGTGTGGATATATATGTATTTATGGACTAGATAGATATTGTGAGATATTTAGGGTGTATCTGCGTATCGGGTCACTGTATGGATTGTAGTTAGACTAGAACTTGTTCGTGGGCCTGACCCACTCTTATATTTTTCAGGTATCGGACAATTCCAGTCTTAGGCTTGATCGTGCTGAGTAAAGACTATCATTCACTCTACCGACGACGTATAATTTCATTCCATGTTTTACATATGGTTTTATTTCCAGTTATTTTATGTTCAAATGAGATTTGATTTAGGGGTCCACTAGATAGATTCCCGAGTTATACTCTTGGAGGTTTTGGAGAATTGAATTTTATAAATCTTTATGTTTGGAGGATTTTATATTTAATAAATTCTTTCAGCTTTATTATTCTAATTCTTATTTATTTATTTATTTTTTTTTATGTTCTGTGTTCGTTTTAAAATATTAATTGTTGAATATTCCCTCGGGTTTGGGATTGGGCTTGATCAACCCGTATTTCGGATTCGAGGGGTATCACAACACCCATTAAATTTGAGATTGATTTATATATATATATATATATATAGCAAATGAAGATCGATAATCCATAAACAGACAGACCCATAAAGATTTTAAGTGAATTTTTCATTAACATTGTTTAAGTGGATTTTTCGTGAAATTGGGTTTATTTAGGGTTGGATTGCATTTCCGACCACTTCCCTGGACTGAAATCAACTGATCGTGGCATGTTTGAACTTCTTTCTTGTTGCCTCGAGTTCGCCGTGTTCTGGGTCTCCCTATGAATAACTGCTGCCACTTTAATGGTTCGGTGAGTCAGTATTTTCTTTTTCTTTTCTTTTTTTTCTTTTTCTTTTTTTTGGGTGATAGGGTCTCCTTATTAATAACTGCTGCCATATCATCATCAATGGATACCCCATGATGAATAACTGTTACCGACTGAACTTTTTCAATTGGATCTTATGGTAAAGGAAGCGAAAGAATGTCTTAAATAAGTTGAATATCATATATATAATATATGATATTATGTATGATATATATATATATATATATATATATATATATATCAATTGGTAGGGATAAGGGTATTATGGGAATTTTAGTAAAATTTGTACATGATGTCAGTAATTTCTGTCGTTGACTGGCCTCTACTTTAACAGAAGGGAGATTCGTGTTGAATATTTTCATTTTTAGGGGAGATCTGAGTAATTTCTGAAAAAGGAGGGAATGTTCTTATAATTATGACAAATCATAAGGGAAGTTTGTATAAATTACCCATTTATAAAATATTTAGGGATATATTAGTTTTTTTAATCTAATTTTGTAAGTTAAAAAGTTCTTTTTGACAAAATATAATGGTATTTAAGTCATTTTACATATGTGACATAATGTCGAGCTAACTTGGGTGTGAGTTGCGGTGGTGTGAGTAATAGTAATTTTTTGAAGGGATTTTTACACATAAATGTACTCGTGGGCCTATATTTACAGTATTGTGCAGTCAAAGTCCCAATGTTTCAGAAAAATGAAGTGGATCAATTTAATGACGTGGACATGAACTTTTACTGTTCACCACAATTTGTTACCTAAACTAACCTTTCACTTTTTAAACTCAATTACTATACTACCCTCATTTCATAAAACCCACTTTGATTTCTCTCTCCACGCCCACCTGACTCTGACTTTCCTATATTGAAATCATCCCATCCAACGGCGGAGAAGGCGACCTTGGCATTACCCAACTCATTGCCGCTCGCCGCTTCCTTGCTTCTTCGCCAGAAATATATAATCTCGAATCCCTAAAATCCTTCTCTCTCTTTCTTCTCCCTCTCCCTCTCATCCTCCTCATGCCGCCTCCTCCCAATTCCCTCATCTCAGCCTCCATCGCCTTCCGCTTCTTCTCTCTCCTATACTTTCCATAATCATTCGGCCTCGCTGGATCATATTCCTCGATAATCGTCAACATGACACCGACAAATGCCGGCTGGAAAAGGGCTCATAGCCGTGTCGTCAGCCACCAACATAGGCGGCAGAGCCACCGACGCACTAATAATCTTTGGTTGCGCGAAAGTTAGGGTTTTGGGTTTGTTCTGGGCCTTCAAAACGGTCTGCGGCGGGGCAAAGAGCGACGCCGGTTTGCTCAGCGTCGGGGGAGCCATTTTGGCGCTGCTGGACCACACATTGGACGAATTGTTGATTCTTTCGTCATCTATAGATGTGGATGAAGGTGGTGGGAGATCTCCGTACAATCCGCCAAGCATTGCACAACTATCGCTTTCAGACAGTGATCTTCGTAAGCCCTAGAAAATTGATCTCAGCTTGAAATCAGAGTACTACAGAGAGAAAACGGGTGAGAAGAGGGCAGCATAGTAATTAAGTTCAAAAAGTGTAAGGTTAATTTAGGTAACAAATTGTGGTGAACAGTAAAAGTTCATGTCCACGTCATTAAATTGGTCCACTTCATTTTTCTGAAACATTATGAATTTGATCACACAATACTGTAAATATAGGCCCATAAATACATTTATGTGTAAAAATCTTTTTTCTAAATGTGTTTGAACGTAATATTTGACACAAGGACGAAGGGTGTTAATTTAATTAACTCAAGATAAAATAAAAAATAAAATTTAATAGTCAAGTCAGCCACCTTCCCAACACGTGTTTGAAACGGCACGTGTCACCTCTTTCCCGTTCTAAACCTCTGCAAAACCTAATCATTCTCTCTTTCGATTCTTCAGAAACCTCAAACAACGAGCTATGCAATATCAATGGCGATATTCAGATCACTGAAAGCCCTAATCACTCGAAACGCGAATACTTCTTCCAGATTCTTCCCTCCTCTCCCTCTCTCTTCTTCTTCAACTCCATTCCCATTCCCATCCCCTCCTCTCTCCTCCCTTCTCTCACATCCCTCTATCTCTTCTTCTCGCTCAACATTGCTCTCTCCACTGTCCAAATGGATTCCATTCCACGGCCCTCTCTTCCTCTCTTCTCCTCCATGGATGCTCTCTCAGTCCGCCACGCCGCTCTACGCCCAATCCGACGCCGTTCTTCTCCAAAAGGTCGAAGCATTGAATTTGCTTCACAGGCGAAGCTTTCCGAGTGCTTTAGGGTTTGGATCAGTTTCGACCGTTCCGCGGTTATTGAATAGGACTGATACGGAGGAATCAAGCCAGGGCGAGATCAGCGTCTGTCGTGGCGGCTTTGTGGAGAGTTTCGTGAATTTGCCGAATTCAATTTCAATGATTCGATTGCTGTCTGGTCCATTGCTTGGATGGTACTTTTACTTTTACTTTTTATTTTCTTCTCTATTCTAATTTTTGAGAAAATGGTTTACTTGTTCCATTTTTATGATAAGCATATATTTATATATTTATTTATTCATATATGAGCGCTCAAATCTGCAATTGTATTTGCTGATATGGGTATAATTCTAACATGGGTGGGGCAATTAGTTGTTGTTAGCATTCATATATGATAGCTCATAGGTTTTATTTTTGTATGTCCTAAGGTGGAAACTGATATAAATGAAAATTTACTAACATTATAAAATTAGTAGGAGTAATAGATTTTGCAGTTAATTCACTTCAGTAGTCGCATGGGACAAAATAAACACAATGATGATGATGATGATGATGATGATGATGATTCAGTTCAAAAGTGTGTATGATGTATTTAAAAGTAAAGAGGCAACTAGTTAGATGAAAACTTGTAAAAACTAAAAATTAACAAGATTTGTTGAATTTTCTTGCACATCCTGTATTTGCTCTGCCATTTGAACTTTGGCAAGTTTAGGCTTAAAATGCGGAAACAGGGGTGACACATATGGTGAACATGCAAGTTTTAGTTGGTATATTACATATATGGTGAAAACTTTGAGTGGATTTAGTAGTAGAGTTAATTACACTTTGAATTATAAACTTAGCCTCGTTAGTGACAGTGTACTAGTTAATACTGTATACTTCTTCAGAATTTGGATTCAGATGACCAAGACAATTTTGGGTAGTCCCTCTGGAAAATTGATTTTGTCTAACAAAGTAAACTGGTTTTTGAATGATGTGTGGCTTTGTTATTGTAGTCCTTCGTTTCGATAGTCATTTTAGAATCTAAGGACTTGCTTGGTTCAATTTTCAGAGAATAGTTTTCTGTTTTGTGAGAAATGTAATTAAAAAACAGTTCAAAATTCTGTTTGATTAACTATTTTCTGAAAACTCTGTTAAAAAATAATTGTTATCGGAATTAGAAAACTGTCTTTTATAATTCATCGAAAAAAGTTCTTGAGGACACCTATTCTCTTGTTTGACCAATAAGCATTGATTATATTAAATCATCATCATACTTGCCTTAATCCCATACGAATAGGCTTGGACCATTCATATTAAATGAATATTGAATCATTTTGTGCTTTCATCTGTCTTGCCAAGGTCTCACTGATTATTGGATATATATTTTTTTTTCTCTCCTTCTGGTTTTTTGGAAGTATTTTTAACAACTTTTATGCAGGATGATCATGCAGGATATGTACCTTCCTGGATTTGTTGGTTTGGCTATATCTGGTGCAACTGACTGGGTATGAATTCTGATAAATTATTCATATTATGGAAACAAATCCTGAATGATGTGGGAGAGTAAAATTAATTTTTTTTTTCTTTCTTTCTTCATTCTCTTTTTCTAACTTTTAGCTAGATGGATACATGGCTAGGAAGATGAGAATCAATTCTGTGGTTGGTTCCTACCTCGATCCTCTTGCTGATAAGGTTAGTGACACGTCCCGTTGTCCCTAACTGAGTTTTGTTGTTGCAGGTTCTTTGTGGCTCATTTGAATCTCTTTGGTGGCTGAAATTGTTGCGTGTCTTATTATCTCTTGTTTAAACAGGTTTTGATAGGATGTGTTGCATTGGCAATGGTAGATAAGGGTCTTCTGCACCGTAAGTAGAGTTCTCTCTTTTTTCTTTTAGTTGGTACCTCGCATGTTAGGTAACATTACTGATGCATAGAATGAAAAAGCTTGTACTAATCGTAAAAATGCATGCTCTCTCTCTCTCTCACACACACACACGCACACACGCACACGGCGGAAAATATAAAAGAAACAACTTCTGAATAAGTTTTATCTTGGTGATTTGATGCAGTGAGTTTGGGTTACTTCAATTGTTACAATCTTTCAATTTTGTCATTTTGACTCCACGGCTAAACGTGCTAAGTTCAGCTACAGATTCTAGGTTGTGATTCTATGATGTTCAAATTGTCCACCTCGTCTGAGGTCTCTTCAGACTGGTCGAGCCATGATATATATAGTAGGGTAAAAAATAGGTCATGCTTATTGTCAAAAAATGACACTTAAATCCGTCTCCTTTTTGGTCGTTACTTGAAATGGATAATGGGATTTTGGTGGAAGGCCGCATAAGTTGGATTCTTGAATACTAAAGTTCATTTATGTGTATGTCCAATGTAATATCCATTGTGCTCATTGTGTGAAGCTACTCTTATTTGGTTTTTTGTTTGTGAAGCTGGGCTTGTTGGACTCGTCGTGTTGCGAGATGTTGCCCTCGTTGGTGCTGCAGTTTATCAACGAGCTAGCAGCTTGGATTGGAAGGTGAGGATGCCTAACTTTGAACTTCAGCAGTAGTTAGTTACCTAGATTACTGATTTGGATTCCGGTTCTCAATTGAAATTCTTTTGTCAGTGGAAAAGCTGGTTAGACTTCTTCAACCTTGATGGCACCCATCCCCAGAAAGTTGAGCCTCTCTTAATTAGCAAAGTAAGTTTGATGTACTTTCCCTGATTATCTGATGAACAATTTGGTGATAGAGCACCTTTTGAATAGAGCGATACAGTTTATTTAGCCTGCAACGTGGTCCGAGTCAATATCCAAAGTATCTAGGGTCCTACCATGTCTCAATAGAATTGCAAATTTAGTTGAGACACGTTGAGAAATTATTGGCTTTGTACGCAGCACATTTTTTCAACTTGACATACTTGGAACTTGAGTTGTTATGAGGAACTGCCTTAAATGTGCGAGATCAATACACTTAACCACCACTTGGTGGATATTACTGTCATCGTCGTTGCAGCTGTTGTTAATGCTTCTACGCAATGTGTTGTTGAACTCCATGATCTAAAACATGTTTTAGCCCACCGCACGAGGCTCCCGCTGATGCACTGCAATTGTTGACAGGTTAATACAGTTTTCCAATTGGTCTTAGTTGCTGCAGCTCTTCTTCAGCCGGAGTTTGGTAACCCTGAAACTCAGGCATACATCACATATTTGAGGTTATTCATTTCACATTTCAGGTTTCTCAACTACCTATTGATAAATTCAACGAATTAAGGCTAACCACACATTCTATTCTGATGCAGTTGGTTAGTAGCTACAACAACAGTGGCTTCCACTGCAGCATATGGAGTGCAACACCTGAGAAACAGATCTTTATTGATCAGAAAGAATATCTAGTCTGAAATGTGGAGCACAGGCCTTTACTGAGAAAACACCTTGAATTTACTGTAATAACCAAGTGGGGTGTCAGTTTCATGTTCCTTTGAAGAAGGGAGAATTTTTATAAGCTTTGTATATATACCTACCCGGGTGCAGGAAAAGGAAAATACCGTCATTGAGATACTGGCTGCTCCACAATTCTGAGGCGGGCAAACTTTGAAGATATGTATTCTATGCTCAGATGATTTGATCCTGGTGACGAAATGAGCAGAAGTAACAAGCTGATGTAACATTATCCTTCGAAAATAAAGCCAAATTTTATAGCGATATTCTAGATATTTAGATTTTTCTTTCATAAGAGAGACTTGGGGGTTTAAAACCCGACTTTCAAGTTGTGGTGTCCTTTTGGATGCTGTTATACAAAATTGTAGTCTTACTAGAAATTTATGGTCCCTGATTCAATAAAAACCTTTGTTGTCTCGGCATCTGTTACTATTTTTACAGATATGTTAAAGAAGCCTGGTTTGAACTTTGAACAACATGGCATTCTTGATAATCTATATGTTCAGGCTGTAGAGAAACCAAATAAACTAGCAGGGTGTTGAATTGACAGCATAAGATGGAATAATTGCTACATGTTTTTTTGGAGTTAATTGCAATTGTTGCATGTTGCAATGATGTTATCTGGGAAAATATGAAGGCTTAAAATGCAACTCCATATTGTTGCAACTTAACGTGTGAATCCCGTGATGGCCTATTTGTGAATGTTTGCGTGGGTGCTTACCTAAAAACCTAGTAGTGTTAGTAGAAACCAAATAGTGTATATTAGGGTTGCAATATTTTTAAAACACTTTAAAAATATTCTACTTTTATAGATTTTTCATTTATTTTATCTCGTGCAAAAATGAAATTCAATTTTGGTTTTTTCGTTTTTTTGTCTTTTTTTTCTTTTTTCTTTTCTGTCAACCTCCAAAAAACGGTGCGTTTTAGTAACCGGTCCTAAGGTTATTTACTGGGGAGGAAATGGAGTAAAAGGGGAAGAAAGGAACACATTTCCCTTGTTTTATGAAACAAAAATCCAATCCAAACCCCGAAAAGGGCTTTACGGACTCCCTCTGTCCCATAAAACTTGTCCTGGTTTGTTTAGGTTTCCTTGATTTTTAGTTTGATAGCATTTTATATGCAAATTTCTTAATTTTTCTTTATTTTGTAATCATTCATTATTAAACGTTATAGGACCAAAATCATACCAAATCGCATCATTGCAGAGTGAAAGGGATGAAAATCCAAATTCCATCATTCCATAGTGAAAGCAATGATGAAAATCCATCTTCAAACAGGTAATTACTAATTAGGATTATTTATTTATTTTAGTTTTTTGTTTTTGTTTTTAGTTTTTAGTTTTTAGTTTTTAATTTTTTGTAGTCTGATTATCTGACTTGGTTCCTGTTCTGTACTGAATTTTTATGAGTCTGCATTGTATATGTTGGTAGTTTTTCATTCATATATATATATATATATATATATATATATACGCACGCGTATCACGGAATACACATATTACTAAACTGATTGACGCTCTGTGTGAAACCTTATCATAATTGATTGTTTTATGTGTAAATATTTGGTCTGAAACTCTGTAACTATGGATATGGAACCATTGATGAGTAAAATTCTGAGGAAGCTTGAGGTGGAATATAAGGATGAATTTGAGACGGCATATGGCGTTGAAATTCACATTGATGCTCTGTTCCTTGCTTGTTACATAACCTTCAAGTACTCACTCTGATGGTTGGTTGGCTGGCCTCTCTTCATTGATTTCTTATACTTTGAAAACTAAATTACTACTTATGTCATGTTTGGGAGCACCTAATCGACTCTTTGGAATCAGAGGAAATTAAGTTTAAATTTTAAACTAAATTTCTCCCAATTCCAAATTCAAAGTGCCTATTAGTGCTCCTTGGAATTGAAAGAAATTTAGTTCAAACTTTAAACTAAATTTCCTCCAATTCCAATTCCGGACCCCAATTCGGTGCTCCAAACATAATATTAGTTTGTTCGCGATTGATAATGTCTGTTATTTATGTTTTTTTCTTTAGTTCTGGTATCTGATGGAGGAGGAGGAGTTGGTGACAATCTTGCAGTTGTGCTGGGCGGAGAGAGCCTGTGTGAAATTGGGACTTGATATAGACACCAATGTGGAAGAGAAGGCTTTGGATTTTGAAGCATACTCATTGTGTCGTACACTTATTGAATTTGAAGAAATCATCAAGAGAGAGAAGGATCCTGCTAAAAAGTTATGGCTTCCTCGTGTAAGTGATGTGCAAAGCTTTCATAGAACTAATATGAACATAACATATATATATATATAGTTAATGTGGATTGGGTTTTTGTTATTTTTATGGCTTCAGGTAACAAAGGATGTGGAGGATTTAATGAATAAGTGGGATAGGTTTGTGAGGAAGTGGGAGCCCGCAGTTTTATCCCGGAAGAGGTCTACAGAAGAAAGTGCTGAAGACATATACATGTTGGAAGAAGCGCGCCAGATGTTGGTTTCATGTTTACAGGATGTGGAAGATACGAATGGGATGCATTCGGCCCCACTCTTCGCGGTGGCTCATCATCTTGGTACCCTTGTAACCGAGCTCATGCTAACAATTCATGAAAATTTTAAGCAAAACCTGGTTGTTACTCCAAATCTAATTGCAGAGGTATGTATTCTTCAATTTTTTTTTTAATTTTTAACTTTGTGGTGTTTGCTTTGATGACATATTTCAATTATTCAATGACTGGCAATGCAGGTAGCAAGTCCTCTGACTGGGATTCCTGCTTCATGGCTCCTCCATTTTTCAGAGCCGCCACTTCAGGGCGTCGAACCAAGACTGGCTGAAGCGCTAATTGGACAAGATCATGTTCCATTTGTTATTAGCAATGCATTGTCAAGGCGTAGAGTTGTTTCTCAATCTCATCCACGCCCAATTGGATCATTTCTATTTTTAAATAGCTTTGTGCCAGGATGGACAGAGACCGCCAAAGCTCTTGCGGAGCAACTTTTGGACGACAAAGAAAGGATGATAAGATTAGACTTGTCAGAATACTCGGACTCAGAATCTGTCTCACGCCTCACTGGTTTTCCATCAAGGTTATAATCTGTCTGGATTGTCTCTTTTGATTATTTTTGCTCAGTATTCTATACGAGGGGCTAATTGTTTTGCTTACTGTGGGATTCTTCAGTTCCTGTCACTGTGAAGGTTGTTGCACAGAAGGACTGCTCACGGAAGCTGTGAAGAGGAGGCCTTTCACCGTGGTGGTGTTTGACAATGTCGATAGGGCTCATCCTTCTGTTACTGATGTTCTGATTGAAATCATTAGCCATGGCAGAATATCAATAGGCCAGGGAAGCACCACTGACTTCACCAAAACGCTGATTATCATGACATCAAATATTACGGATGGCAAAGGCCGATTGTGGTCCTGCAAATGTGTACAGATGGGTCAAGAAATCGCGCTGAAAGACTTATTTCTTGATCTATTGCAACAAAGGCATAAATGCTTGTATCTTGATCTTCTGAGGGAGGTAAGTTGTTGTATAAATAAGGAGAGGATGTGCACATCTATTGGCTCTCTAATATGTTAGGTAATTTATTGTTGCGTAGTTCTATGAAGAATTTGCTAATAATCCAGTAAGTATCCACTTGGACACTAACTTATGGATCTATTGTTCCTTTCCAACATATAATATAATTGGGTGATTAGCTCTCTAATATGTTACATAATTTCTTCTTGCGTAGATTTATAAAGAAATGTGAAGGACATCATGCACCGATCGTGTAGTGTCTATTTTTTAAAAGGGGCTTAACAGTGAAAGCGGAAGCAGAGCAGCAGAGTAATTGGTAGCTGAGTAACTGGAAGTTAAATGTATATCCAGTGAACTTGTGGAAGCTATGCATCATGTCCATATAATAAAATGTAGTACTTTGTATAGACAGGACAGGAGATGCTTGATAGTGTTCTCATTGTTGGAAACAGGGGCATTAAAAACATAAACTTTGGATGAGATTTGGAATAGACTCCGCTAATAATTTTTTGCGGATCTCTAGACTAGCGCATTTCTCTCCGTAAGGAGATGAACGTGGTATATTTACTTTCTCAAATCCGTTTCCGGGTGAATGAGAAATTAGCTCCAAAGTGTGGTGTTTTTATAAGCTTAAATGGGTATGCAAAATGTGGGAAGTGCTTGTCCCACATGAAAAAAAAATGTTGAAACAAATTGAAATTTAAATAAGCTGAGTTTAGGATTTGGGCTTAGGCTTGGGCCTAATTGTAAAGTTCAGATTATTCTTTTTTGGAATTTTTGATTGGGCCTAATTTTAGGCTGGGCTTATTTAAATGGGTTTCACAAATGGGTGGGTTTTTTGGGTGGTTGGTTTTTTGAATTAAAAAAACTACTTTTTAGTTTTTCTAAAAGGTTACACATTTTAAATTAAAAAAACCATATTTTAGTTTTTCTAAAGGGTTACACCTTTTAAATTAAAAAACCACTTTTTAGTTTTTTTTCAAAGGGTTACACCTTTTTCCGAACCATCATAACCCATGGTTGCACCCACTCGAAAAGGCACATTGTAACCTATTGGAATGGATGTGTCTATTGGTGAACAGACACCATGTGAACCATTGCAACCTATTGGAATAGATGTGTCTAGTGGTGAACAGACACCATGTGAATCATTGCAACCTATTGCAATGGTTGTGTCCAATAATGAAGAGATACACCACATTCAAAAAGACATTTCTGTTTCTATAAATACCCCCCTTTGGATCATTTGCAAGTCGTTCATTTTCATTTTCTTCTATCTCCCTCTCTAGACTTGAACCCAACCCAAGTGGGTTCAAACCATAGGTTAAGTGGTCCGAACCACTTAGACCCTAATCCAATTTCATCGAGCCATATTAAGATTGGTCCGAACCATTTGATTCGAATTGCACCCAATTCAGCATTTATATAGCATAGATGCATTTTTGAGTCAGAGAGAGTATTACACGGAAGAGGTTCGCCGTATCCACGAGTTTGTAGTGCTGCTACTGGTGGATGTAGACCGTTGTATCCTGGGAGATAGACGCCACTGAGTCCGTTAGCACCATAGCGGGGCGAATCTGTCTTAAGGACATAGTATCCAATACTAGCCTCGGTCCAGGTTCATTCCTTGCATATTATTATTATTTTATTGCTTTATTTTGCATATTTAATTAAATATAGAGTTGCATATTTAATTAATGATTTATTAGCATATTGTTAATTATCTCATGACATATTAGTATAAGGGTTGTTATATCTTAAAAGTCACATTAAGCATATATTTTACCAACAATCTTAAGACAGATTCCTTCCTTGCGTAGATTTTATTATATGTTTCTATTTAAGATATAAACAAGTAGATATTATACTAATAGTTGAGATATGATAAAATAATGTTATATACATTATTATATGATAATATGTTAAATATTAATGCATTCAATATTATGTGAAATTGAAGCATGTTATATAAGTGGATTATTGAATTATTCAATATTGGTTGAATTATTTACTTTTGTAATATGATATTATGAAGTATATGACATTACCTTAAACATGTATCAACTAGAGGTGAAAAAAGATACTTCGTTACTTTTATCATTGGTTGCACAAGATACCGTTATGTGTATTTGCCACGAAGCAAAGATGAAACCTTAGAAATGTGACACCATATGAATTATAAAAAATTCGAAAACCTTCTTATAAATTCTTAAAAATGTGGGGGTGTCTAACTAAGGTTGTACTTTCTCCTAAGAAAGTTAAAGTGAGACCTATAATATGACAACCTTGTGGGTGGGTGTGCCGTGGGCGGGTGTAAGAGGCACTGACATGTTATCACATTGAGCAAGTTACAGGTGCACAGTCCCACACCACCTACGTAAGGGAAAGGTAAAGTGATTTTATGTAGTGGTGTTATCTCCAATTGGTACGAGGCCTTTTGAGATAAAACCCAATAATAAAATCGTGCTGGCTTGATCCCAAAGTGGACAATATCATACCATGTGATGGAATGGATCGTTACATAAAACCTTTGGTAGGTTATAACATTAGTGCATATCATTTTCTTGTAGGCTAGAACGTCTATATCTTTTAGTCCTAATTTTTTTTTAGTATGTTTATTGGAGAATGAGCCACAAATCTTTTTTCTTAAATTAATTATGTGATATAATTAATCATGTGATATAATATGAAACTATATTGTTATGCAAATTCAATATTATTTTTACAAAAGTTTATTATTTGAGATTATAATATTGAGATATGTAGTTGAATTACTTAGTGTACGTAGTAATTTAATTTTACTATATAGCTTATTTAATGTGTGATATTATTAATTTTGTATGAGTTCATAACTGGTTTGTGTATTTAATACAACAGACAAAAATTGATTAGTCTAAGTATGTCAATTCTTCCAATAGTCAAGGGAGAAAGATCTATACTAGTGTCTAAGACACGTATAGCTGTGAATGGGCTAAATAAGAAAAGATTTTCTGATAACTCTAAAGAGTTTAATGGAAAATGTTATGGATACACTAAGCTAGTACACTGAGACAAGCTAAATCAAACTAGTTAGCTCTAATGTACAATTTAGCTAAAAGCTAAAATGTTATTGAGTTGCAAATAAGGTAGCTTAGCTATAAGCTAAAATGATTAATGAGGTGCACAGAACCTAAGAGGAAGATGGAAAATTTGTTAGTTGGTTCTAGCTCTCAACTTGTTAGTAAAAAAACATGAGGGTGATGAGTAGCCATTTTAGCCATAAGCTATTTGAGTTATACATCATATCTGCTCATGTAGGAAGGAATAATACTACTTGTAAAGTAGTAGTTTTTGAAGAATATTCTTCAAAACAAATTACTCTACTACCAAGGTAGACTACTTGGATAAGTGTGTACTAAAACTATGAACTACTAGAATTGATAGCTAAACAAACTTAACTTCAAGCTAGCGGTAATAACTAAAAAGTGGGTGCTCATCATAACCTAGTAGTGAGATATGAGAATAGTGTACTTAATCTAAGTTAGTAATGATAGTTAAGAACTCACTTTTGACTAGTAATGATAGCTAAGAAGTGAGTGCTCACTCTATGGTGATTGTATCCAAAACTTAAATAATAAGATAATTATTTGCTTAAATGATTGAGTTATGTGATGTGTGACACATGAAAGGTTATAACATGTTAATATGACTGACTTAACATGAACCTAAAAATGAATAATTCAATTTATAAATATAAAAGAAGTAAAAGCAAATATTAATTAGAGCCCATTGTAATTAATATCTTTAGCATTAATTCATGGTAATATCGGTGAATTATTATAAGAATATGCTAAAGATAAAGTGAGTATATATGCACTAGAGACTGTTATATATGCTTGTTGAGAAGCGAATATGGAACTTTGGAAAGGTAGATGAGGTGAAATATTTAATATATGGTATTTCAAGAGTTGGAAAACTATAAGAAATATATCATATATAAAATTTTAGGATTATCCTAAAGTTGTGGGGGGATATTGTCCATAGATAAAATTTGCTATGAGTTACCTCACCAAATAAAAAATAGTTATAAATGTAGGGTTCTTAATCCTAAGAAATTTTGGATAGAACCAAAAATCATTTATAGTATTATAACAATAGTGCATATTGTTTCATATGAGGAAAATATTATGGAACAACTAGAAAAGTTCTTTTTCCAGCGGAAGAGCTAAGTTATTTGTTCTAGTTGAAGAGTAAAGTGTGCAAGCTTATAAGTCCTTGAATGGATTAAAGCTAGTACCAAGACAATGACATAAATGTGATGTATAAGTCATTGTATGCCTTAAAAAAAAAATAATGATATACTAATTAGTATATTTGATATGAAAGATTTAACATCTAATAATATAATATATTCTCAATAGAGTGAGATTGAGATAATACTAGTTATGATAACAAAAGCCTAGCTAACTTTTGTAGATGTAAATCTCAAATATAAATACTAGTCAAAGTATATCATTGGTTGAGATTACAAGGCATCTTAATAACTGTGTTTAATTGCACATTTTCAATACAGGATCGGATCACTAAAAAACAATAAATTGGGTAGTTGAGATACACCCTAAATCTAATATTGCATAGATCGAGGTATCTAACTAAATTGGAGGTGTAACAGTGATGCAATCTGGATATGGGATATTAAAGACTTCAAATCCAATAGTGGATATGTCTTTTATACTAAAGGTGTAGTTCTATGTTCTTAATATAACTCAAAGTTAGAAACTTTGAATAAATCAAATAAGGAAGTCAATAGACTTCACCTAGAGGACAATTCAAAGTAAGTCTACACCTGTGCCACTAAAGAAAATGCTATTGCTAACAATAAGCAATTTTAGGGCACAAAGTATACAGTTGCTCTCACCTGGAGAAATCTCTGCAGAGTGTAATATTTCTAAACACAACCTTGTGGCCACATATAAAATTGAAGGTTGTACTAGAGAGCAATTGTACAGTTCATCGAGGGGAATGGGGTTTAAAGCCGAAAGCTAACGAGTCACCTTAATGGAAACCCAACCTAATTGACTGGAGATCCCAAGATCTAGGTTCAAAGGGACAACAGAAATTCTGAGTGACTCACCAGAAGCACTGGGAAGATATAAATCTTCTACCCATTTCTATGATGAGACAGTGCTACCTACAGCGATGATTAGGATAAGCTATGCTTTTAATGACTCTTATACCTTGAAATTTCAAGTGGGGTATGGTAGGATACTCTTAATAAGAAATCACCTATATGAGTGTGAAGTGGGGCCGCTTCTATGAGAACTATAAAGGCTAAGTTTTCTGGAGCACTCATTGAATACCAGGACTTGTTCAGGGCCAAAATGAACACAACAATGAGAACCAACTTTGTGAGGAAAGCTACTGTGTGTTTGTTATTGTCTTGGTTTACACAAACAGCTGAACAGTTCAAGACATCGCGTTCACTGGTTAGCCAGTAAATCCGATAGCAATACACTAGGGAAGGTTCAAAGCCAAAAGCTACCTATCCTGATGCAGTATCTTTCCGATTATACTCTCTCTAGTGTCTGCATGATCATCTTTTACATTTTACGCAAATTTCCATTCATGTGGGGGATTGTTGGAAACAGGGGCATTAAAAACATAAACTTTGGATGAGATTTGGAATAGACTCCGCTAATAATTTTTTGCGGATCTCTAGACTAGCGCATTTCTCTCCGTAAGGAGATGAACGTGGTATATTTACTTTCTCAAATCCGTTTCCGGGTGAATGAGAAATTAGCTCCAAAGTGTGGTGTTTTTATAAGCTTAAATGGGTATGCAAAATGTGGGAAGTGCTTGTCCCACATGAAAAAAAAATGTTGAAACAAATTGAAATTTAAATAAGCTGAGTTTAGGATTTGGGCTTAGGCTTGGGCCTAATTGTAAAGTTCAGATTATTCTTTTTTGGAATTTTTGATTGGGCCTAATTTTAGGCTGGGCTTATTTAAATGGGTTTCACAAATGGGTGGGTTTTTTGGGTGGTTGGTTTTTTGAATTAAAAAAACTACTTTTTAGTTTTTCTAAAAGGTTACACATTTTAAATTAAAAAAACCATATTTTAGTTTTTCTAAAGGGTTACACCTTTTAAATTAAAAAACCACTTTTTAGTTTTTTTTCAAAGGGTTACACCTTTTTCCGAACCATCATAACCCATGGTTGCACCCACTCGAAAAGGCACATTGTAACCTATTGGAATGGATGTGTCTATTGGTGAACAGACACCATGTGAACCATTGCAACCTATTGGAATAGATGTGTCTAGTGGTGAACAGACACCATGTGAATCATTGCAACCTATTGCAATGGTTGTGTCCAATAATGAAGAGATACACCACATTCAAAAAGACATTTCTGTTTCTATAAATACCCCCCTTTGGATCATTTGCAAGTCGTTCATTTTCATTTTCTTCTATCTCCCTCTCTAGACTTGAACCCAACCCAAGTGGGTTCAAACCATAGGTTAAGTGGTCCGAACCACTTAGACCCTAATCCAATTTCATCGAGCCATATTAAGATTGGTCCGAACCATTTGATTCGAATTGCACCCAATTCAGCATTTATATAGCATAGATGCATTTTTGAGTCAGAGAGAGTATTACACGGAAGAGGTTCGCCGTATCCACGAGTTTGTAGTGCTGCTACTGGTGGATGTAGACCGTTGTATCCTGGGAGATAGACGCCACTGAGTCCGTTAGCACCATAGCGGGGCGAATCTGTCTTAAGGACATAGTATCCAATACTAGCCTCGGTCCAGGTTCATTCCTTGCATATTATTATTATTTTATTGCTTTATTTTGCATATTTAATTAAATATAGAGTTGCATATTTAATTAATGATTTATTAGCATATTGTTAATTATCTCATGACATATTAGTATAAGGGTTGTTATATCTTAAAAGTCACATTAAGCATATATTTTACCAACAATAACTCTAAATTCTCTTAATAGAGAAAAGTAATCAACGTGTTTGGAAATTTAATCATGTTATATTTCTGTATACAAATGGCAGATGCCTGATGTTAATAATAATCTTGCAAGACATATACTTCTCCTGTTTATTGTTGGTATACCATTGGAGCTTTGTTTGCCTTTACTTTCCAAAGAGCCTACCTAATCAAGTAGCAGTGAGATTTTAGATACTAGTTCCTACGGACTGAAAGCTTAAAATTTGGGAAATTTTGCATTTATCCCAATTGGTGTTTGCCAAAATAACAGTCCTCATTTGTTTTAGTAATTTTCTAGTGTATTGAATAGTTTAATCTGACTTTAAAGGGCAGGCGAATTTACTATACTTGCTCACTTGTTTTATTTATATTTTAACTGTTAAATGGCCAATTAAAGAGAGATCTTTCTATTTTGTTCGAGATCCTCTGTTCCAGACCAAAACAAATGATAACAAAAATTAACGGAAACCAGCAACGTCCAACCAAAGCAGTGTCTTCATTTGAAAATAAAAACTGCAGACATCATCAACCAGCTAGTTCAACAATTCAAAATGAACGAACCAATTTTCTCTAGTGATGTTACTGATACAAATATTCCCCCACATATTCTATTTTATTACCTTAATCTAATAAAAATCATTGCAAACTGTTTGTTCTTCCCTACTTAGGCAAGCTCCATTCCATTTGATTCCACATATCAGCATAAACCTTTCAAACACTCACAAGCAACTTCTTTGTTAAGAAATTCAGAAAACAAATCCTCTGCCGTAAAATTCTCAATCTGCAAGTCCCAAAGACACCACCTGAGTATTGAAAGTAAAACACGAGAAAGTAAAAGGCACTATCAAGTTGGCACGTTATTAGTTGTAAAATCCTCACAATCTTTAATACTTCTCTATATCTTCTTTACATTTTGGTAGCAAGAATTAAAGCATACCCAGCAAGAAGCATGTTGTGTTTCATCAGACTCAATTTTTTCTAATAAAAAATATGTGATCAACTTGATTGTACAAACGGTACTCGATGGCAATGAAAAAATAAAAACTATCCACACATAATGCAATGCCTAAAAACAAACAATTGCCCCAAATTCTGAACGCTAAGTTGAAAGAAACAGAAACCAACAATCACTATCATATTTCAATTGGTATGGAGACTCATTTAAGTAATAAGATCATCCTAATTATAACCATCTGGAACACTCAACTGCTATCTTCTGGATAACAGTCTACACTTGGAAGCCATGTGTTAGATGGTGAACCGTGAAGTACTTATGCGGGACCAAAAACATGGATGTGGGTACAGTTCCAACAAATCTAAGCAGTATCAAAACGAATTTGGATCAAGTAAGAAGGAACGCATAATTTAGTAATACCTTACCTTGAGATACTGTGAACCACATATTTGTTGAATGAATACTTCAAAATGAACCCTTCATTTTGCATTACAATACTCAAAGAAAATCTAGGTGTAAACAATTCCTTGGAGGGGGTGTGTGAGTACCAGCCAAATAGGAAAAAAAATATACTCAAAAGAAAAACTATATAGGTAAAGAATCAAATCATTACTTGTTTGCAAAGCTTAGATATCGGACAAACATGACACTGACACTAGACGGAGGAGGTACTCATGTGCAAGTAAATTTCAAACAGTGCGGGATATATGCTCATGACTCATTCAAAAGTGAGTCAAAACTTATCCTGAAGCTAAGTGCTATAAGCTGAATTTAGTCTTTACAGACCACGTATCATCATCACCATCCTTGGCTTAATTCCTTATGAATGGGGTCGGCCACACAAGAATTCTCGTTCCCAAACCACGTATAAGAAACAAGAATTAAAAGGTGTTTATACACATATCAGGACTCATGCGAGGATCCTAACAGTTCTGCTTGTTGCAATTGGAATCATCTCCCATAAGGTACAACTCAATAATCGATGATTTACACAATATCAAACATAGATAGAAGCGTTTCTCTTTGAGTTATATATTAAATAAGATACAACCTCTGACCAAATTTCTTAAAATTAAGAAAAAAATCTGCAGAAAACACAGCATGATAAGCATGAAGTTTCTGTCAAAGTGACTACCAATAAAACAAACCAGGTCAAGAAGAAGACATAATTGATGAGAAACTATCCAACAACAGCATCACTGTTGTGAAATTTGAAAGGCAACGAGTGCCAGATAGTTCAACAATTCAACAAGTGAAGCGAAAGAGACAACTTTCTCTTGAGAAGCCCTTTTTCCACCCTGATTTTCAATTTTATTTCCATGGTATTATGTAACAAAAACATTGCATACCATGTTTTGATTCTCTATTCAGGCATATCCATTTCAATCCGATCCCACATATCAGCATGCTTTGGGAATCTCTCCTTCATCTGCCCAACAAGCTTTTGTGCCTCGTCAACTTTGGAAATGCTAGCAAGCCCATTCACAAGTGACTTCATGGTCGAGAAATTTGGAACCCAATCCTTTGCCATACTTTCTTTACAAAACTCCAATGCAGATTCAAAATCCCCACCTTTACATAGGAAGTGAACCAGAGTGAAGTAGCAGTCACTGTTTGGTTTGAACCCACTGTTAATCATTTTCTTAAAAAATTTCTTGGCTTCATCCAAATTATCCTCCCTACAAAACCCATGAATCAAATGGCAATACGTAACTGAATTTGGTTTCATATTCCTGGACAACATCCCATCAAGCAAAGCTTTTGCCTCCATAGATTTCTTAAGCTTGCACAAGCTCTGAATCCTAATGTTATATATGCTAAGACCCGGATGCATATCACGATTTTTCATTATTTCCAAAGCCTTCCCAACATCCTCATACTTCTCCTCCTTGTAAAACCCAGCAATTAAAGTCCCAAATGTTGTTGCATTGGGTGTACAATGCTTCCTATCCATCTCAGCTAATATCGAGTACACTGAACTAGAGGAACCCGACTCACAAAAGGCTTTAATAACAGTATTATATGTATCAAGATTTGGCTCAATTTCATATTTTTTAGGGAATTCAAGAAATATACGCTTTACCTCTCCATAATTCTTCGCAGCGATGCAAGAAAACAGCAGGGCATTGAGGGATTTCGCAGTCCGCTGGATTCCCAGTTCGGGCATTTGGTCGAACGTTTGGATGGCATTATTGAGCATGGTCGCTTGGCCGTAGAGGATGATTGAGTGCGACAAGAAACGCTCGTTTCGGAGGTCAGGACGGGTGGTCTTGAGTTCTTCGAGGAACAAGCGAATGCCCTCAAAGTAATTGGCGTCAGTGAGCTTGGAGATGGCGATGGAGAAGGCAATCCGGTCGAGGTGGAGGTCGGGAGTCAGCGACGCGGCGCGGCAAATGTCGATGATGCGCTCTGGGTTCTTCTCGGACTTGAGGAGGGAGAGAGCAGCTCGAGACTTCTCTTTGCTGCTGAGTGGAGACGTGGAGTTAGGGTTTAGGATTGATGAGAAATGTCGACGTTGGAAATTGTTCAGACGAAGCATTTTGAATAAAGCCATTGATATGGAGAACTTTAGATAGAGAGAGAGAGTAAGAACAATTGGAGATTTAGAGGAGGAGGGAGAAATGTGTATAAAATATAGTACAGGGTTAGGGTTTTTGTTGGACAAGGAAGGAAGGAAGATAGTAATAAAATTTAAAAAAAAATAAAAAATTCCGGAATCGGGATATTGAACCCGACGTGAATCGAACACGCAACCTTCTGATCTGGAGTCAGACGCGCTACCATTGCGCCACGGATCCGGCAACGACTCTATCTAATCTTATAGATTAATAATCTAAGTGTGTGAAGCCTAGAGTGTCTCCTTATGCTTGTTTTTTACTGTCAGTAAATTATAGTGACAGTTTCCAATTAAAAGACTAACACTGTACATACAACTAGCTACTTGAAATTTCAATTTTCCTCCTGTACAACATTCTAACCCAAAAAAGTGGTACTCAATCACATTGTCATAATTTAACAGAATTGAACTATGTTTAGGCTTCAATATTCTTGACTTTAATGAAGAACACCTCATTTCCTTGGGGCGAGACTGTATGAATCTATTCAAAATTTAACCTATATGGGTGGAATTAATGCAATTTATGTGATATATTAGTCTGACTGCGATCGAGGATCTCTTTCCTATAGAGATAATCTTGTTGAATACAAGCACTACAGTCATGTAATTAAGTCTCTTTTTACAAGAACCTTTTGTCTCCTTTGGGTACTATCAGAGTTAGGAGCAAAAGATTCAATTATCATAACATGCATATGTTAGGTCCCAACTTTAGATACTTGTCTCCATTGAATTCTTGCCCCTTAAAGTTTATGAAATAGTGTAAAAAAAAATGTTTTGAATATGAAGAGTGTTAATTGCAGTCTCACATGTGACTGTTGTTGTACGGTTACACTCGTAATTAGTTAGAATTTCTAAAATTACATGATAATTAATTAAAAATAATGATATTCTCCTATTGTTTAGGACTGAATAGAGTCTCCGGAAAATCCTTTGAACGGTTCAAAATTTACAATTGATAATTTGATGCCACCAACCGAAAAAAAAAAAAAAAAAAACACTCTAAAACTTCAATTCATATGCCTTTTGATGTCAAGTTTGCACATGTTCTATCTAATTATATTTACTTGCTCTAAAATTTAATAACATATGCTAATAACTTTTCTATAAAAAGTGATTTTTTTAAAAAAAAAAACCTGTAAAACAATAATCTAAAATATGAATGATAGATAAAACTAACCAATGAGATTTACATATATCCAATGATATCATGATTTGATACAATTTATTATTTTGAGTAAAAAGTTATAAATGAAGTATTATTAACAATTAAAAAAATTAACCAAATTATACACTATTTATTATAAAAAAACACAATTAATTTTTCAGAAAAGCTTTCAAACTCCACACCTTCGACATATAAATTTTTTTTTTTCAAAATTTAAGTACTATAAAATTCTTAAAATTTAAATATAATATAATTACAATTTTTTTTAAAAAAATGGTCATTAAATAATAAACTAAAAATAAGAATAAGAAAAACTAAAGAATTAGATAATGAAATATACCAATTATTTAACCTTCCCGAAAAATATATATATACCATTTATGAGAGATAATTGTGTCATCTCCTTTTTTTTTCTTTTTCTTTTTTCTTTGTTGTTAAAAAAAAGAAGGTGATGTGTCAAATTCTAATATAATTTCTCTAAAAACTAAAACATTCATAGGTTCTCTAAAGAAAAAATATTATAAAAGTTTACACTTAAATTATAACTAGTATCAAGTCATTTTTTTAATATAAACATATCTCATTTGTTTATGATTCAAATACCCTTTATTTTGTAACAAAAAAAGAAAAAGAAAAAAAAAGAATATATTTAACTTTTAGAAAATTTTAATGTTTATAATTTTTTTTCAAAATTATCATTATATTTTATTAATTTTTAGAGGAATTAAATTCAATTAGATGGGGCACCTGCAAATTTGACATCAAAAGAAAAAATAAATTCATACTTCAGCATTCTTTTTTGGTCAGCGGCATTAAGTATAAATTTTACAAACTCAAAAGACTTTTCTCGATACACAAAATGACAGTAGTTATTGCGCTGAAAAAAGATACAATTGGGACTCCTTTTGGCCATAAAGAGTAGAGGTCAGAGTACCATTACTCATTAAAATATAAATTTATAAGACAAGGATGTCATTTTAATTATTACTTCACTTTCTGGATGGTGTGTGTGTATATATATAAAAACACCTAAATTATTTTCTTTTATTTTTTCTTTTCTCCCCTCACACCATCTACATGCAAGGGTGGATGTAGGAATGGGTTTTTTTTTTTTTTTTACTATACTAATTTTAGCCTAGCCTAAATTTTTTATTTATCAATAGTATTAGCCCACCCAATCAAGCTCAAGGCAACTCGGTAAATGTTTGGGATTGATTATCTATTACTGAAAAACACTTCTATTCTAAAATACTGAGATACAATGTGTTTGGTGAAAAAAAAAAAAAAAAAAAAAAAAAAAAATTGTAGAAAATTGCGTTAAGGTAGAGGTTCATGTTTTTAGGTAATTAATTTTCTTTTAGACAATCTAATCCCTTTATATTTTTTATAAATACAATTGTATCCCTTCTACAAACAAATAGCAAACAATATGGACTCTAACTCTCCAGTCTTTCAATCTCTGTTTATTTTGGGACTTTGAATTATATAATTGTTAGATGTTTAATTTTTAATAAATTATGATTTGTAATTTGTTTTTAAAATAACTATAATATATTTATACTATTATCTTGAATAACAAGAATAAGATTATTAATTATGGTTAAAGTGTTTAGTTTTATTTTATGAAATGTTATCTATATTGCTAAATATTATATTATTAAATTTCATTATTAAATAGTATGAACAAATTTACTTATTTTATTACTAGAAGATCTCAAATCAAATTCAAATTGATCACCATTAAAGTATGTTTAACTAATTTATATTTTAGTACTCAATACAAATTATACATCATAAACAAAATATGTGATATTTAAAATAAAAAAAAAAAAAAACCTAATACAAGTTGATCTTTATAAATTATTGAACTCAATGATATTATAAAAATTTTATAATATTTAATATTAAGGAATTAGTATATATTTAGTGTAAAGGTAATATAATAAAACAAGATTATTATCAAACAATATTATTAAACAATATTATTATCAAATAAATTTAAAAATACTTTAAGTATAAAAAATGTTTTACACAATGTGTCACTAAACATAATTAACTTATAATAACTCTACTATTCAAAATCTTAAATCAAAAATCCTAAACGGGTTGTCGTCATACAAAAACTAAAGACCCAAGCCTAGCCTAGGACCGGCCCTGACCCAAGGCGACAAAGGGGCAAAATTTATTGGATGGGCCACCAGACCTAAAAAAAAACTATTTTTAGGGCAAATCATTTCAGCCTCCCCAATCGCCTCCGTCTCTATTCTCTCGTTCTCAACTCTGAACTTGCCCTAAGCGCCTAAGGTCGAGCGCTTCCCCGTGAGGGAAGGGGTGGGGTGGCGTGGTATTCGACGAGAGAGGTTAATCGTGGCGCACGTTAGTGCGATAGGCAAATTAACAATATGGGACTCTCCATGACCGCTTTGCTGCTCTGATTTGCAGCCAAAGCGAGGGGATTGCCCCCACACTTTTCTTTATCTCTCTCCTCTATAACTTCCGAAAAAAAAAACTCTGAACTTGCACTCTCTCTCTCTCTCTGCAACTGGAAACTACAAAATCTACAAGAATCAGAAGTTCAAAACCCATATATTTCAGTTTATCTATCTGTCTGAAAGAATCAAAATTTCAAAACCTATTACCTATATCAAAACCCATATCGGCATATCATTTCAGGTTGTTCCAAAAATCAAAACCCATATCTTTCAGTTTCCTCCAGTTCGGGTTCGCCGTTCGCAAGCTTCAGCCGCTGTCTCTCAACTCTCAAGCTTGCCCCCCTCTCTCTCTACAACTGCTAACTTGTATGTATGGGTTTTGTTTTAATTTTCTTTCTACAACTGTAATTCTTTTATTTTTGTGAAACTTTACCACTTAACTTTTTATGACCAAATTACTCTAATTACGTCTTTCTTTCTTTACTTCCTGGTTGTAGGTATATATATACGTATATATAATTAACCTTTTAAATTATATGTAACCTTTATTCTTTCTTACTATTTTTTCCCTCTCCTCACTATCACCTATATTCCATATTCCATATTGCATGAACAATATATATATATATGAATAGATTATTTTCTTTCCTTTTTCTTTGTTTACATATGGTTAAATAGTTATGGTAAACTTCATTCTTTCTTACTATTTTTTACTCTCCTCACTATCGCCTATATTCCATATTCCATGAACAATTTAGATATATATATATGAATAGATTATTTTCTTTCCTTTTTCTTTGTTTACATATGGTTAAATAGTTATGGAAAACTTCATTCTTTCTTACTATTTTTTACTCTCCTCACTATCACCTATATTCCATATTCCATGAACAATTTAGATATATATATATGAATAGATTATTTTCTTTCCTTTTTCTTTGTTTACTTATGGTTAAATATTAAACCATCCTTATCTCTTTCTCAGTGTTTACAAATTAACTAAAATTCAAATTCTTCAATTTTATTCAACTAAAACTCGATCCCAAAATATTATTTCGATTAAAACTTAAAAGGACAAAAACCTAATAAAGAATCGATGAAGATGAATATATATATATATATATATATATATATATAAGACATTGAAAGAAAGAAAAAGAAAAATAATGAAGGTTAGCTATATATGGATGTATATATATGTATGTAAACTGCAAGGAAAGAAGGAAAGACTTCACAATTTAAAAGGGTAAAATTAAATATGAGGTCACCAATTGGCACCTTCAAAATAAAATTAAATATTTAATTTTATTTTATTTTTTTAATTTTATGATTTCATATCACTAACGCAGGGCCGAACAATTGAACTCATGTGCTAGGCCCAATGTGTCCCATACGTCCGAATGCATGCCTGATCCCCTATGGAGGAGCATTTGACCCCTGTTTTGGATCGTTGTAAACCGAATCAGCCTCAGTGGCATATTTCTTGTACCAACCAGGTAAGTCGCAGGAGCAATCAGCAGGTATTACTTTTTCTGCACGTTTCTGGCAATGATGTATTAGGGTTTATAGGGTTTTGCAGGGTCTTGTGAAATTTGTTCTCTCCTTTTTGTTGATTAGACCAATCAGTACTTATCTTCTATGATTATTTTTTGAAAATAAGTATCAACATGTTTGTTTTGGGCTTCTTTTTGAATTTCCTATTCGATTGAGAAAATTCAGAAGGTAGCTAAGTTAGGATTTTCATTCTGTTCCTCTCTCTTTATACGCATGTGTGTGTGTATATATATATATAATTGTATTAATGTTATATTACTTCTTCTGTTGCAAGGTGAGTGCTTCTGTTTTCTATCTCTTAATTCTTCTTTCAGAGTGCTCGATTTATGAACATGAGCATAAGTTGCATATTTCTGTCAACATACACCCACATTGTTTTATATTTGTTTGTTCATTTGTAGATTATAATATGATACAAATTGTCTTACAGTTGCAAAATAAATTACTGTGAAATATTTACAGCGATAGGAAAACACCCGAGAGATGGATTGACTGCGGATATGTGTGATTCTTCAGTAACTTAGAAAAATAATGATGAGAATCTTATTATTTGTTGTATTGTGAAATTGATATATCTTTGTTTTCCTTAATGAGGTTATCTATCCAGATTTCAGAAGTTTCTATTTGCGTGTATTGCAGGTGTTATGTGTGTGCATTTGTATATAGACATATATTATAATGGAATTGGATTTATTTCTTCATTTTGTAGATTAGGATTTGATATAAATTGTCTTTTGATAGAAGTAAAACTATTTGGCATTAATATTGATATGTGGAGGGTTCTTCAGCTACCCAAATAGGATCATTAAATGTTGCTCTTTGGTGATAAAATGAGACTCACGGCTTGTCTTTTGAACTTTTAATATCTGATCCTAATCATCTGTTCGTGACATCACAATTTTCTAGAAATTGACAACAAAAGATACAAAAACAATGGTGTTAGAAGTTGTAATCCCACTCAAGGAGAAGCAAAAGTTAGAGATGAAATATGGTGTTCATATTCACATGGATGCTCTGATGCTTGCTTGTGATATTGTTGTGAGATACTCTGATGGTTAGTTGGCTCCCAATTATGACTTGTTCTTCCTAGCATTATTGTTGTCGTTGTTAACCTTTTTTTTCCTTATAAAGTCCTTCGTGTTTAGCTTTGTTGTCCAACAAAGCAGAAGCAAATGGCTGCAGCCAAAAGGTGATGGTGCTTCTGCAAAACAAGGCAGTCGAGCTGCTGCATGGCGCCTGTGCTAGAATGAGACATGATCTTGATGTAAATATGGAAGAGAATCGGTTGGATGAAGCTGAATACTTTCTTTATCGCACTCTTCTTGAGTTAAATGAAACCCAAAGAGAAAAGGATTTGGGCAGTCAAAGTTGGATTCCTCGTGTAAGTGCTTGATGCTTTTTCTTTTGAATTTTTTCTCTTATTCTTTACGACTTGTGCTGCTTATAGGTGAATCATTAATTTATGTGGTTTGGGTGTTTCTGGTTGGCATTGCTCCAGGTAGAAGAAGAATATATTGGTTTTAGGGATTTCTGGGATGGATTTGTGGAAAAGTGGAAGCCTCTACTGATGCAGCAGGGATCAGCAGAAAGAGCTCGAGAAAATTTCATCATGGAACAGTTGCGATCAGGGCTGATATCATATTTGCAGGAGGTGGAAGTTGCTTAGAAGAGGTTTCAATATTCTTCGGTGGTTCCAGACCTAAGTGACGATTTATCTTCCCTTGTTAATTCAACTTGCAAACGCGTCAAGGAAAATGCAACTGTTAAACCATATACTGTTGCAGAGGTGACTATATTTATCTATCCTTTCTTATTATTAGGCCATCATAAGCTATCAAAGGCTTTATTTTCCTTGGCTTCTACATTTTCTGACATATTTAAGCAGTGAAACTGATGATTTTTCTGAGGTTTGTATGTAGGTGGCGAGCCTCATGATCAGCTTCCCTGCTTCATGGCTCCTTAATTCTTCAGAGCCGCCACTGCAGGGTATTGGACAGAGATTGCGGAAGAGGTTTGGCGGACAAGATCATGTTATTGATGCAGTCACCAATGCCTTGTTGAGCTGTCAGCCTCATGAAGCGGGCATCGCCCTATTGGATCATTTCTCTTCTTCGGTGGTGCTCCTTATGGCAGGCCAGAGTTTATTGAAGCTCTCACTGAAGAGCTGTTCGACAGCAAAGACCTGCTGGTAAGGTTTGAGATGTCAGATTACAGCGATTCACACTGTTCTCAGTGTGATTCATCCTTCCTCGATGTTCGCACCAGGTAACTAAAATTCAAGTCTGTTATATATATTTATATATGCATATTAATATTATGGTGCTTACTTTCTTTTTCCTTGCTAAATATATTGCTCCAATTCTGAATTTTTTCTCAGAGACTACAACCATGAAGAACATGGTATCAGGGGAGAACTCATAAAGGCTGTTAAGAGCAGGCCCTTTGGTGTCTTTTATTTGAAAATGTTGAGAAGGCCAATAATTATGCCATTGAAATTCTGCTTGACATATTGAGGCATGGTAGACTGACAGACACTAAGGGTGGCAAAGTTGACTTTACCAATGTGTTGGTTATCATGACTTCAGATGTTGTAATGAATAATGTACCCTTATGGTGTTGCCATTGTTTAGAGAAGGATCAATATCGCCCCATGAAGAGTAGGTTGAAACATTATTATGACCTTCCAAGCGACCATATGTGCGGGTTCCTCCATGCCTATTTAGAGGTAAGGTATTGTTGGAATAAAGAGATATATTATTTGTGTTTCTGTGGGCATATCTAGCAGTCTGGATCACTTCTCTCTTGCTATCTCTCTCCTCTCTCTTTTTTATCTAGTGTATTTTATTTTTTATTTTTTTGTTTTGATTGTCTCTACACTACATGTTTCACAGGCAGATAAGTGGTTTAAAAGTGAGTTGCTTGAAGAATTGGATGATGTTGTAGTTTTTAATGGACTTTCCGAGCTGCATTGTCATGTTATTGCTAGGTTGCAGTTGAGGGAATTAACTGAAGCCATGAGACCAAGAAGGCTTATTGTGTACCCATCTGAAGCTGCATTGTGAAGTATTACCAGGAGGTCCTTTTGCCGTACAGTGAGTGGTTTTTTGGTTTCTTTTGTTTTTATATTTTTATGCTACTTATGAATGATGATTTTAATGATTAATTGTAAGATATAGAGTGCATGAAAGTGAGCCACATCATCCTCTGTCTAGCTAGCGAATCTTGCAGATTACCTGCATTGGCTCTTTAAATTAGTCGGCTTTGGCTCACTAATCGTCAGAGTTGGGGCGTCTCTTGGATCAATCGTGTGAGTGGCTATAAAGTAATTGCTACATTGGGTGAATTTTCACTTGGCATATGGTTTTAAATTTACCTTATTATTTTTGGGTTCTTCCTGAAGGTTTTTACTGTGTGAGCCCCTTAGGATGACCTTTTACCTTTTGGCAACGTGTAGCTTAAGGTTATTCATTGCATCGCTGATGTTCAACTTGTTACAGGGTGCTCTTCCACGTCATAGTAATAGGATAGATTTTACAGCTCCTAGGTCATCATGTGACTTGCATGTTTAGGCCATTGTCTTTGCTTGCATTCTTGAAATTGTTATTACCTCCATAATCACAAAAGAATGTCTTGATTTAATCATTCTAAACAAGCCGACATCAGTAGGCTGTATTTAGAAAATTTATAGCTATGTAAGTGAATCCATGTTTTTTTTCCTCTTAATATTCAATTTGAAATTTCATTATAACCCTATTTAGAAGTTTAGAAGGTTCACTATTAGTTATTGAAAAAAAAAAAAAAAAACAAAGGTTTAAAAGGTGCACTATCATTTTGGGCAGTCCAATAAGGTGATGAGTATTTATATACTGCTGAACTACTAGCAAGATGACAATCTAGGAAAGTGACCACTAGGACTGGAAAGTAAGAATAAGTAGATAAACTTAGATCTTCTAGCTACTAAGTGTTCTAATGGCTACCTCTATTTTGCCATTTTCATCTCCCCTTTATCCTTCCTCTCTTTTATAAATTATTAATCTTGTAGGAGAATCGACTAACTTGTTGCAGTTGAGGGTATAATCATCTTCTTTTTTCCTGAGTTGAACCTCACACATCCACTTTGTGCCTAAGGGTATAGTCAACTATTTCATTGTAAATAAACTTAGCCATGGTGAAACAACCCAAATTTTAATCAGTTGTGATTTTTTTCAGTCTTTGATGATTTATGAATAATTTTAATGCTATCCCTTGGTTGAGTCTGAGGGCAACCACTTTATGCAAATACGGTAAAAAGATAGGGTTATTCCTAGTTTGTCTTGCCTAGCATACTCAACAAATGGGTTATGATTCAATGATCTTCCATACATTTTTCTTGTACTTTTTAAATATTTCTGTATTTTATCAGGTTTGTTGAAAAAAGGAATTAGTTTTAAGAAATCTAATTTGTTTCAGCTTATCTTTTCAATTAATCTTGGGTTAAGTGCACTAAACCTTCCTGAACTTTCTTCTTTCTCTCAAAAAAATCCCCTGAACTATCGGAAATATACTTGACCTATTAAACTATTCTATTTGTTGCAAAATGTTAGTTGGCCGTCCAAAATGTAACACCCAAGAAAGGCACGTGATACACGTGACTAGGCAAAAGTTTTAAAAGACAAAAATAACCTTATGAGCGTTAATTGAATATTATATAGAAATAAATGTATGTATAAGTTCCTCTCTTCCATTTACCTCCTTGTATCTGCCGCCCTCTCTCTCCAACCACTTCGTCCATGGCTACCACCTCCACTGCCCGTCCCTCACAACCACCTCCACCATCCACAGCTGCCACCACCCAATCTCTCCAATCCTTCTCCCTCTCTTTTTAATTTTTCTTTTTGACCTCCAACTCCGGCGATGACAATAACGATGAAGAGATGAAAAATCATTCAACAGACACTTGCTTTTGTTGCAGAGGTTGGTGTTTGGAGGGGAATTGATTGAAAGAATAGCATAAATTTCTGGAGCAGTTCTGATTGGGTTGGTTTGTTGATCTGCAACAACAGATTTTCGGGACTTTTGCGACTGAATTTGTAGCTTGTTATTGGGTCTTGCGGCTAGAATTTGGGGTCTTGTGATTGGGTTGCCGACAATTGCGATCCATCGTTGGAGAGCTTGCATCGGAGAGATGACAGAATAATGTTTTGGGTTGATCAAGAAACAAAAGAGACTTTCTTTTTTTTGGGATCATGCTTATGACTCTTTGATTTTGAAGGAAAATTGGGATTGAAGGGTTAGAAAACAGAGACAGGGGTGTTGTTTGTCTTGATGAAAACTTTTTGATTGGTGGTGTTAAGGCGTGAAGGATGCTAAAGATTTTCTCTTTCTATATTCTCTGGTCTCTGTTGTCAGTTGATATTCCTGATAAATGAATAAACCCTATATCACTGCTGTTGCTTGTAATTTTACAATTTTTTCTCCTCTTCAGTTTCTTGTCGAAATTGGAGGTGGATCGAAAAAAGAGAGATGGATTGTAGAGAGGAAGAGGTGGTGATGGCCTCCACGGGCGGTGGAGGTGGTTGTTTGGGGAAGAAGAAAATTTGTATATATATATATGAACAATGTTATTTTAATATTTTTAAAATAATAATTGAGTTGTCATCCTTTTATTGGAGGGGAATTTCTTCTTTTGTCCGCGTAATTAAAATTATTGATTAGGATAGGATGACTTGCCAAATTTTCATTGGTTGTATAGATTACAAGGCCACATCAACTACTAAAGTTGGATATCACATGAAACTATGTAGTTTAATTAATGGGCAAAATGGTAGTTTCATTTTTTAGTTAACGGTTGTTTGACTATGTGGGGTTAATTGCAACCTAAGAAGCACGGACACGGATATGACACGGACACGGCGACACGGCAAATCCAAAAAAATTAGGACACAAACACGGCAGGGACACGGCGAATAGTGTGTGTGTGTGTGTGTGTATATATATATATATATATGATATAGTACTTTAAAAATTACTGAGTATTGCTATTTTTCATCAACCTCACAATGAAAAAAAAAAAACACAAATCATAACTCATAACTAATAAACTATAAAAGAACAATGTTGCAGAGTTATAAAACCAAATAAAAAACAAGACATTAGAATAATAACTAGTATCATTTAATTATCATTGTAACTTTACTCCAAATACAAAAGCATAGATATAAAGGACTATTAACATTCATGACTGTTTAACATTCAGGACTTTACTGTTAGCACTTAACATTCACAAAAACCTAAAGGCTAGTCCCCAAAAAAGATACAAAAATAAGTCAGTGTACTATCATCTATTCCCATCCATCATTTGACCTAGGACTTTTACCATTTACAATACCAAAAGGGTAGTACAAAACAAAAAACAGAACATATTATCATTAAAAAAAAAAAAAAAATTCCAGACACGCGTGTCGGACACACCCCCCCGGAGTGTCGGACGCATGTCCGTGCTGTGTCCGAAAATCAAAAAAAAATTTCCAGACACGCGTGTCGAACACACCCCCCTGGCGTGTAGGACGCGTGTCCGCAGAGTGTTCGTGCCGTGTCCAAAAATTAAAAATTCCAGACACGATTTTTAGTATCCGACACGTGTCGGGGCGTGTCCAACACATGTCGGACACGGATTCTTCGCCCATTTTGGCGTATCCATGCTTCCTAGATTGCAAAATTCTTATAGTTCAGAGGGTATTTTTTTGTTCAAGGGGGTTTCTTGCAAATAGTTGAGGAGGGGGGTGGGGGGTTGGGTTTAATGCACTTAACCCATTAATCTTTGGGTAGACTGTAAAACCTCCCCGGGGGGTGGGGGGTTGGGTTTAATGCACTTAACCAATTAATCTTTGGGTAGATTGTAAAACCTCCACCCCCCCCCCCCCCCCCCCCCCCCCGGTCTCTTGAATTTTCACTTCTTTACATATTACCCCTGTGCTAATGTTTTTGCAAGAAACCATCTTGAACTTTACAAAAACCTCTGGGGGCAACTTTTGCAAGTTTGGGGTGTTCTTTATTCTACAGGGGGCAATTTTAAAAGTCTGAAAGTTCAGTGGTCTTTTTGCAGTTTACCCTTATTATCATTCATTTTTCTTGGCCTACACAATTTTGAATACTAAAAATCGCCCTACCCTGTAATGCCATGCAAACTGCAAAGTCAATCGTATGACCGTTCTGACTATTAAGGGTTTCTTTTATAAAACTATCATTTAGCAGTTTCACTTGCTTATAGATATTTATGTGTGTATATATATACACAGGCACGTAGAGAGGGTATGAAGATGTGGCTAAAGGAGAATGTGGTCCCTGTGGTGTTTAATATGCTTTCAGAGAACAAGACAAGTGATGGTATTACCACCATTTACATTGATTCCCTAGTTGGAACAGATAAACTATCTTACAGAATGGAGAAAAGTCCAGTGAATTTTTTCATTTTCATGCACTTCAAAGAATCTTTGAATGAGCTGAGAATGATATACAAGAAAGAGAAAGAACGCACCTGCAAGATGTACACTTTAGAAAGAAAGTATTTTGAATTGATATCTAGGGATTCTGATGAAGATTTGGTTCATGTCGTGGAGGTGGTTCAAGATTTGGTTGATACAGTGGATGATATTGTAGCAAATACAGATGTCAACTTTACGTGCAAAAACTATAGACCGGTATTTCATTTGCTCATCTTCATCCATCCTCATGTTCTATTATAGTTTCTCAAGTAAAAAAGATTTTTAAATTTTGGATTTGATTAATTTTTAATATCATTTGTCTTTCTCATTTTCTTTTATAGACATCAGTGAACTTCTTAAATCAGGAGGCAGAGGTTAGGCAGCGGGAGTTGGCGTCTGAGAGGGCTAGGAATGAGGTGGATGGTCTTCAAAAAGTACTGTACAGTAATCTTGAAGGGGTCTATCAAGCAGTTGATGTTGTGGCAGAGGCTTTATTGAGGACCATTCATGGACCTCATGATACGCTCCATTATCCTGCCAAGTCATTTCTAATATTAGGTCTTACAAGTGCTGGTAAGGCAGATCTTCTAAAAGGTCTTGCTGAGCTTTGTGCAGCCAATGGGGGGACATCTGTGATTCAAATCAATGCGGAAGAACACCAAGAATCTGACTCATTGTTGCAGCTTATGGATGGAGCACTCTGGTATTTGTGATGCAAGATGCTAATATATGCTTCTCAATAAGTTTTTAATCATGTATTTGTTGGAATTGCCATCTTCAATGTATGATGGCCCATTGCTTTGTGATATTCAGGCATGACAGCCATGAGCAACATGGTTTGGGGCTTCAAGAAGCTGTTATGGTGAAACAAGGCTGCATTATCATTATTGATCAGATTGAAAAGGCTAATATGTCTGTATTCAGCACCATACTTTCAATGCTTGACCACAGTACTGTGGAAGACAGTCAAGGAAGAAAGATTGATTTCAGGGGCACTGTTGTAGCCACTATGTCAGATTTGGGAAACAGACAAATTTTATCACGCCTTGCTGGACATGCTTATGGTGGTAGTGTTCCGAGAGGCAGCATCAAACAGGTGACTAATTGGAAATTGCAATTTAAATCGTTTCTGCTATTTTGTCTTTGCATTTCCTTAATGCTCTGTTGCATAAGTTGGTTTAGCTCCTTTAGTTCTTTTGTTTTGGGCTTCTGTTTGTTTGGCTGATTTCAGCCCACTAGCCTAGGCCTTGTTTCTTTATTTGAGAGCTTCTGTACAGTTCCTTTTCTGTTTGTAATCCTTACCCTTGCACCGAAAAAGAAAGAAGCTATTATCTTTTCTCCTTTTTAATTTAATTTTATTTGATCAAGGAGATTGAATCTGATTTTGCCTTTTAAATTATTTTAAGTTAACCCTTCGGTCAGTGTTGGATTGGTTGTGGTTATTTCACAGGACGGAATGCGTTTCAGAACTGAGTTGCTGAATCGGGTAGATGAGATTCTCATATTTAATCCCTTTGTTAAGAAACAACTCGAAGAATTTTCGAGGTTATCAATGAGGGTTGGGCGTCATCTGGAGGGAGAACACTGTGCATTTTTTGAAGCATTTTCGTGTCTGTTCCAATACACTACTCGTTCAGTAAGTATTCATGTCAATAACCATTTTTTGGACATCTTATATTATTTGAAGGATTCTGAAATTTTCTACCCTTGCCATTATAGTTTTCTAAGAAGTGGCCATGGACCGCACGGTTTGCAGTGTCCCATCTCTCAAAGGAGCTCCTTGGTAAATGCCGCAATGTTGTCTCGGTTAACAGACGCGAGCTTTTATCCCATCAACAAATTCAAAGGAGCGCATTGGTAAATGCAGTAGTGTTTGTTTTGGTGAACAGATGCGGGCTTTTATCCTCTTTCGGTGATGATCAAGTCTGCATGCAACCACCGAAAGAGGATAAACTTAGAAGTTTGTGGTACTGAGAAAATGCTTCTCTATGGTGGTTTTATTTTAGTTCGTCGAGTGTGTGTGTAGTGGATTTCTTTTCAGGAAATTGGTGTCATTAAAGTTTGATAAACAGTCATGATCTTATAAAACCCAACTAACCTTTGTCAATTTAACAATTACCATATGTGAGATAAGTGATAAACAATCTAGCTATAATAGTAATTACTTGTGGACAATAGCGGCAGTTGGAGAAATTACACAGTAGTTAGGCAGTTGTGAATTGTGACATATAGAGGCAGAGAATGAGAGTTGTGACTTGTGAGATGTTGATGGTTATATGTGCCAAGGTTATGAACGTATCATGTCACCGTTTTGTTTGGATTTTCGTTGTGTTTGGATTTAGTTGTAGCGGGAGTATTTCCACAAGTCATTATGTGACATGTTAATGACTATTAGATGATGGTTTCAAAATGCTATTTGCAACATTTTTGTGTATCATATAGAGGGTTTTTTTTTTAAAAATGTCAAGCATTAGAGAACTATTTGCATAAAAATTCTATCACAAGAAAAACAATTCCTGAGAATTTAGTAACAATTAAAGTATTTAAAACAAGCACATATTACAAAATGAAATGCATAAGTAAAGAAGAGTCGCTCAAGATTATGACCAAAGTGCATGAAGGTAGTTGTGGAGCATCCAGTAGGGATAAAAATGAGATGACTGATCCGAATGTGCTTTTTTATTTTTCTAATCTCGCTGGAGAGGAGGTGCTAAAGACTGCAGAGTTAGGTGGATGAGAAAATTGGGTGGTTTGACAAACCATCCCCCCAAACTCAATTGAATCAAGATCTAGTTGTTGTTGTTGTTTATTTTATTTTATTTTATTTTATTGTCTAATTCAAGTCCAACCTAAAAGCATATAATTCCATTAGAATTGGATTATATTCAAGTTGGTCATACAGAATTGCAACCCTAAGTGGAAATAAAAACACATCTTTATTCGTATATGAATACTTGTTCATTGTGATACTGTCTTATTTTATTTTTTAAAAAATAAATAGATATTTTATTGTTTAGATTTCTTTTTCTTTTTCTTTTTTCTTTTTTCTTTTTTCCAATATTCTTCATTGTTTCTTAGATTCCTTATCACAAAGGATCTAATTGATTATGATACATGGACCCATCCGTAGTCTGAACTCGCTCATCTTGGTTCTTGTAATTACTAATTAGGAATGGCAATGCGGCGGGCCATCCCCAACCCCATTTCCATTTAAAATAGCTACCCATTCCCGCTCCGCCCTAAAATCGTTTATTAAACAAAGGCAAGACGGGGCAGGTTTTGTAAAATATTTTCGTAATTGTAAAAGTAATTAATAAAACAAATTTTCAAATATGATCATAATTTTTTTTTTTTTTGCCTTATGGGGATAAAAATAAGATTCAACTTCTAAAATTAAAACTTAAGACTAAAATTATTGTTGGAATATCAAAATAATACATTAAAATTTTCAAATAAGAATAATACAAAAGAATATTTGGTGATTGGAAAAGAATAAATTAGAATTTCTTTAATATATACCTAATATTATTAAATATAAAAAAATAAAAAAAATTATAATTTAACAATATAAACGGGCAGGGCACATAACTATGTGAATTTTTAATCTTAACTTTCATTTTCACCCCCTAAAACTATTTAATCACGGCGACCCATGCACCCATACACATTTTTATAAGTCATAATCTAAGTCACACAATTCGTGGTCTGCGGCTCTCTCTCGCTTTGTGCGTTTTCATTCTCAACTTAGCACCCTAACTCTCACTTCAACTTAGATTTTGTGGCTTTGGTTGCTCCTGCAACCATACTAATGAAATTAGGAATGAGGGTATTTCTCTCCTTGTCTCTGACTATGTGGTATTAGGGTTTTGCAGGTCCTCTAAAATTCGTTTTATCTCATGATTGTACTTTTAAAATAAGCATTAAGATGTTTGTTTTCCGTTTAATACTTTTATAGAAATTACCGAATAAAATCTCATTCTGTATTTGATAATATTACTTCTTCTTCTGTTGCAATGTGAATAATTCTGTGGTGTGCTCGGTAGCTCCCATAACTTTTTAAAATTTACGATTTTACCCCTAGGGCTAAACTTTCCGTTTTTAAAACTTCGTTTCCGCATTTTTATTTTCTTTTAAGTTCCCTGACTTCATGGGAAGCCATGTTTGTGTCTTAGGGATAACGTACATCTTTTGAGACTTTGTTTGCACTTAAAATGACCATTTTGCCCTTGGGGTATATTTGGTCTATTTTCACCTTTTGCTTCCGCATTTGTTCTTGTTTCCGCTTCCACATTCCGGATCCGTTATCGAATCAATTTTCGGGTCGCATTGACTTATCCGGATTGTGAAAATTCGGAATGTCTCTCGTCAAATTGTTCGGTTGATGAATATGAGCACAAGTTGCTCATTACTGTCTTACTCATCATTAAAAAATGAAAAAGAAAAAAAAATTTGCGTATTTGAACTGTATATCAGCATAATATACACAATATATATATATATATATATATATATATATATATATATATATATATGGGTATTTGTATCTTCATTTTGTATATTATAATATTATACAAATTGTCTTACATTTGCATAATGTCATTTTATCAAAATCATTCAAATTGTCTTACATTCGCAGAAGAAATGGTTTTGTTGTGATTTCTGAAATGAAAGAGTGAATATTCAATATATTTACCATTTAACGTAAACCTGAGAAATGTGCAGTATTGAGAAAAATATTTTACTCTGCAATAATTTTAAATTCAGAAAACAATAAAAAAAACAGAATTATTAAACCCTACATTTTATATTTTCTTTCAAAATTTAAAACAAGATTTTGTTTTAATTTCAGGAAATCATAATCTAAGTCACATGAAACGGGTGCGGAAGCAAGAGCGTGAAAGTAGCAAAAATTTAAGTCAAATGGGAGAGAACGACAACGAGAGCACAGACGACACCTGTTTAGAAGAATAATGTGACTTAAATCATAATCTATTGTTATTCTTGTTGTATGGTCCTTTGTAGCCCTTAAAGTAGAAGTAAAGATACAGATACAGACCAGTTGAAATTAACCATTTCGACTTCCATAATGTAACACAAGTTTGCCACATTTTAGAATTTTACAAACTTTTTTATAATAATGAATTTTAATACAACTTACTGAAAGATAATGAAAAAAATTATCAAAACCAAGTACGCCTGATTTCATTCTAAATCAATTAAATTAAAACATAAGTAAACACAATTAAGATAAAAAATTCAATTGAAAAGGTATCTCAAATAACAGCAATGTCTTGTATTTTTCGATCGAGTAAGAAATAAAATTAAAGAGAAACGAAGTGTTTATTCAAATGTATTTTGAACAAGGTTATTTTTTATTCAAAACTCGTATTTTCATTCAAAGTCTCTCTTTTTATAATAAAACACTCTCACTCTGCACACTGAGTAGCAAGTGACACATGTCTACATTATTACGAAAAATACATTTCTGGATTTCTTTTGCCGGAGAAGTCACTTCTTATAACTCTGTTCTGTCGTATTGTCTATAAAGTTGCGGGGAATTTGTTTCAACTTGTCATTCCAAACAGTTCAATCCGTCAAAGGATCCTTCAGGGTTGTCCATGGTTATTTGATGGGCATCTGCTTGTGCTTAAAGAGTAGGAGGATGGGTTACTTCTTTCTGCGTCTTCGTTTCAGTCTTCGCCATTTTGGATACAGCTTCGGATGTCCAAGCTAATTTCCTTTCTGAAAAGGTGGGACGCCGCATTACTGATACGTTTAGCCGTTGTTTGAAGGTGGAGCTTCGGGATTAGGGTATGATGGAAAGTAAAGAAAATTTTCTGGTTGATAGTAGGGTTCTCCGCCTCAAGGTTGAGCTGGATATTACTAAACCTCTCCGACGGAACGTTCGGTTGTTAGGGCCGTCGGGTACTAATCTATAGGTGCAAGTTCGCTATGAGAAGCTTCCATCATTGTGCTTTGCTTATGGGGTTATTGGGCATCATTGGAAATCTTGTTATGTGGGTGAAACTCTTTCACCCGGGGACTTAACGAAATATGGGCCTTGGTTAGGTGTCGAAGGATATCTCGGGAAGGACATTTGGAATCCGGACAGTGATCGGGTTGAATCTATGGGTATTGGTAACAGGAAAAAATAGCTCTATGTGGAGGGTGAGGATTCAGATGGTGTGGTTGGTGGTCTCCCTCCGGTTAAGCATCATTGTAAGGTTAATTTGAAAATATGCCTGTTGTGGAAGGGGAGTTCTCTACTGTGGGTGAGCATCTGCTGGCGGTGGCTAGGGATGGGCATGGCGAATGTTCTAATGATCCGGTTGTGGTTTCTCGTGTAGGGGATAAGGAGGTTGTGGGTCCTGGGATTTATGAAGCTCTTGCTCCGGTGGATGATGGTGTGCATGGCCAGGCTGATAAAGGTGTGCATGGTTCCTCCTTTCAAAGCTTTGTTGCATCTGCTCACTTTGAGGAGTCAGTTCAACGTGTGCCATAAATATCACAGGGTCAAGGAAGAGTGTTGCGTTTGCAGCGATGGGATCAACTAACAAAAGGTGGACGTAAAGGTAAAGGAATAGCTGTGTCCCGAAAAGGCAGGTCTTCGGATTCTTCGGCTTCATCTCATAGTCAGGGCTCTTCCCCAGCGAAGACCAGTCGTAAGCGTCGTTCACTCATGAATGGTCTTAACCCGGGGTCTAGTAAGGTTGATGGGAAGAAACCAAAGGTTTCTGTGAGTCATCCTCAGGATGGTCTGTTTAATGATCAATTCTCGTTTGGTGTTGCGGGTATCATTTCGGCTGGTACTCATGTTAGGGAATCTGTTTACTCCGACTCCTCTCCTTTGCAGTCTTTTGCTACGCAGTTGGCGCTTTTGGTTGGGACTTCTCAGCCTACGGCTACCGACTCAAACTGTTCTTTTGAGTGTCTATCATGGTGGTGTTTTGTTTTGTGGGTTCAGCTGTCTTGGTGTTGTGCTGGGTTGGTTTTGCTGTGGTTGTGTTCTGTATGGTGGTTCTGTTGCTTTGTATGGTGTTGTGTTGGGCTTGCTTTTGCCAGGGAAAAATAAATAAATAAATAAAATAAAAAATGTTAGGTAAGATCACCATGTAGAAGATCAATTTTGACTTTCTTTCGGCCGGTGAAGTCTTTTCTTATACTAGGGTACTCATCCTCCTCCTCTAAAGTTCTGCTACTTACACGAGTAATATTGAGGTAAAAATCAAATTTAACTCGGATAGAATTAATAAAGATAAATGAGATAATATGATTTATAATTGGGAAATTATGAGATTTATATAGCCGACTAAATAATTGGGAAAGTTATTAGTGTGAGTATTTGGTTGGATCCATATTCAAGTGGAAACTCTCTCACTCTAAACTGTACATTTTTTTGTGCAACTAGAAAAGAACCAGTCAAGAATTTAATTACAAAATACTGTCTTCAAACTCTCACAGCCATGAGGAGTGATGACAAGTAAAAATTAGCATGTCACTGAAAAAGTTTTTCATACTATATATTTAACTAAAAACTCATCACATTTTGGCTGGCCATCACACAATTCGAGACAATATCAACAACAGCAAAGGCCAGTAAACATCGGTCTAGGTTTCCAAAAAAAAAAAAAATCTGATTAATTTTGTTGAACTTCCTCTACAGGTGGGGCAGCAAATCTCACGTTCGCGGGCCTCGCAACTACTACAGGTTCATCTGCAAATAATGATCTAATAAACGATGGTGTTTTTAGGGGTCGACGACCTGTCATTCGCGGATAGACATCTTCAAGAAAATAGTATGCATGACCAGCTATCATTCCCTGCACCACAGAAAGGTTAATTAGTTTAACACGGTTGTAATCAATGCATCCGATCATTGATCATGGCTAAGCTAAGCATGCCAAGCACTTGAGGACTGCACAATTAACGAAAGATACAATCTGTACCAGCCCTTTTTTTTTTTTTTTTTTGACAAGTAAAAGTACACAAACAAGTAAAAAAATATTACGTCTACTACTAGTACCAGCCTCAAAAAATCAGTGTAGATACTAACGAAAGAACAACAGGAGCCGGGTTTCAGATATACTCAAGGTGTAGTAGATTGCACTTACACTACTTTTATATACATGTATGTATGTATGTTTATATATGATCTTTCTCATGCAAGTATATATGTAATACATACCCTAATAACTGGCAATTTGATCTCATGCAAATCCATATGTAATATATATTCGAAGAACTGGAAATCCGTATAATGAAAATCAAATTTCTTAAAAAAATGTGTATAATGAAAATAAACCTATAAAAGGGTGGGCAGTGGTGCTTTAACTTATTGAGACAAAAAATGTTTGTCCAACTCAAATTCCACTTACAACATTCATTTCTTAAAATAATTTTAAGAACTGAGCATCCAAGACATTAGTTTGCAGTCTACCAATTTGAGGATTCAGAGTAATCTGGCATGTACTTGAACAAAAAAAGGAAAAAAAAAATTCAAGAAACTCACACACCGATTTGTCCCTACTAAGACTCGAACCCTCGCCTTCCCCACTGGGAGCAAGAGAAGATACCACTAGGCTACTTGCAAAGGTTTCAATTACCTTGTCTCAGAAGAGTAGAGCCAGTGAAGTGCTAATATAATCATGGGTTTACACAGGGAGGGGTGTTTTCTATAGCATATGAAGATTCTGTTATCTTCACCTCACATATTTCATACAATAATAAACCAGTCTTTCCGGTTTGTTTAAGATTTGAATCAAATGTTTTGATCTTGTTTCTGCATTTCTCTTGTTGTGGAAATTGTAAAAAGATTGTTTCAATCTCTGCTGAACTGTTAAGAATGTGGATCATACACAAAACGTAAGAGTAATGTAAAAGATAATGGTACTTGAGACACACCAGTAAATCCACCCAAGCACTAGCTCCAACAAGGACAGAGAATCCCAGAAGAACCTATAAGAGAAGGAATGGTATCAGGTTTATACACAATTAGAGCCAACATATATGAAGTCCTCAATAAGAAAAGCAACCAAATAATTTTAATATATATATATATATATATATATATTGCAAGGGCACATTTAAATAGTCTATAAGTTTAAATCTCTTCTCCCGATACATTGCCACTAATTTGAGCTACATATTCTGTTAAAATATCTTGGAACTGATGCACTGTCATAACCCATAAATGGGTGCAGCAAAGGAAAACTGCAACTGTAAAAACTGCCAATAACGCAGCACCCTTGTACCAAAATAACCCATAGATGGGTGCAGCAAAGAAAGATTTAACCACAAAGTCATTGGCTGTACTTCAATATGGACTTATCCTTCCAGTTATTCACTTGATGCACTAAGGGGAGTCAAAGATACTTAAAAATCAGAGCCACTGAATGGGTTATTCCTTCTTTTGACTTGAAAATTCTCTTGATGCAACATTTACACTTCTAAGAGAGAAACTTCCTGAAAGTGATTGTACAAAGCTCACAGAAAATCTTATGACCTATCAGACTGAAAGTGGGCCCCAATATTAATTGTTTTGGACATGATTTAAGAAATTATCCATCAATCATGTATATAAAATGTATGGTACAGCAAAGCAGTGAGCCTGCAATGGCTCTTTGGGCTCTATTTTATTTATGTAATTGTCCCTCTCGATTAATGGAGACCAATACAACGTAATAGCTTTTTACTTAATAAGAATCATTAGGTTGGCTAATTCAATCCCAAAGAGCAAACTATGCATTATTATAAAATGTACATCAATGATTAAACCACCTCATCGGGGAAAAACAAGAACTTATATATTTTATTTTTACTTTATTTATTTCTATTTTGGTGATAAGTCAAAAATCATACCTCTCGTGTAGAGATGAACAAAGAAAACTTTCACTAAATTACTAAACCTTCACAATTTGTCTAGATTTGCCATATACATGTTCTGTAGAGGGTTATAGAGGTCATTAGACAGGTTTTTGTGTGATTCAACTAATAAGTGCAACAGAAGTAGCACTAGCCTCCAATTAAAGAGCCATTTTTTTTTATCATGAACCTAACCAAGACTGTTTGAACTGACAACTTAGTAGGATGCTGCTAATTCCTAAATTTAAAATATTTGACACGCGAAAGAACATATAAAATGAATATAGTAAAAAATAGAAAGAATACATACATTAAAAAAAGACTAGCAACAAGATTATATTAAGAGACATTAAGGTTCACTCACCCATGGAAGGTAAGCTGCTGTGAAAGTAAAGAGGCCCAAAAAACTCATATGGATATAAGGATTTTGCTTGCTCCACACATAAACCTATACAGTGAGGAAAAAGTAAAAGAAACAAGGTAAAAAGCTATGGAAACAGTCACACATACGGAGTCCTGTAGTTATAGACAAAACTTCCATGTAAACAACAAATTACTTACCATCATAAACGTCAATGAATTGCTAAGGAATATAATCTTTGCAAATGATTCTGACACATAAGGTATCATTCCCCCAATTAGAACAATTCCCGTTAAAACAGTGGCACCAAAAAAGAGCATGTAAAAGAAATCAGCAGTCCTTCCTCTGAAGGAATTCTCTTCAAGAAGCTTGCAGTATCGAGCAAGAAAGAACATGTGGAACAGAAAATCTAAGTCTGTCATTACAGAGATACAACCATGTTAGGGAAACATCAATGAGTGAGACCAATATATCAAATACGATACAAGATTACAATACATATATCTGGGTAAGCTGCAATATGTTCAACGATAATAAATAACATTAATTGAAGCACGAAATTACAAAAAATATACATAAATAATGAACCATGGATCGCAACAAATTAGAAAAAAAAAAAAAAATCTTATCTATTTAAGAATGTCCAGAAAAAATTTCAACCAAATAGTTCATTTCATTGGTCTATGCAGAGCGGCTGCTGAGCAATGAGAAGTCATATCGTTAACACTGTTTGATAAGAAGCTTGAAAGAGGGAAGGGATGATAAATGGAGCAATTCTCCATTATTTGGTTCAGAGGAGAGTTAGAGGGAGAGGAATGATGAATAAAAAAGACATCTTTTTCAGGAAAAGCATTTTTCATACCTCCAAAATTGGATGGAAGACAGGAAGGAAGAGAAGGATAAGTGATGTAATGTAAGTGACATTATTACCCTACATCAAATTTTTGTCAAATTATACAGCGAGTTTAAAGAGTTAAAAAATAATAATAATAATAATAATAATAAACACTCTTATTCCCTTCCTCTTACCAAACAATGGAAGGTCTACTCCATTCCACTCAACCAAACAAAAAGGTGGAAGGATGTCTTCCCGTCCCTAGGAATACCTCGTCCATCCTTCCTACACTTCCTTCCACCCACTTTTCCATCCTCTACACAAAACGAATCATAAAGTTAAATAGGCTAACAGCTACAAAATCCTTCCAACCACAACACACTCCCCCCCTTCCTCCATGTATCTAGGGTTTCTATGTTCAATAAGTCGCTCAACAGATTAAGTTATATGAGAAGAAAAGTTGACTAGTCTTCCCTCTTTAGTTTTTCATCTCCAAAAGTAAATGATGGTTGCATCCTTGGTTTTTATGACGGTTGAACATGTGGTATCATCATCATTGTGTCTGGTTTATGACTCTGAACCCACAGTTGGAAGGAAATCTCTCTCATGTGAAGAGGAGTCGTGTCAAGTATATAATTACTTTTGTTTAAATTAATGACTCACACTCTAAAACTACACGCAAAAATAGGTTTTAATTAGTTGCTTATGTACTAGTTAACCAGCATAAAACCTACCTTTGTCAAAGCCCTTTTTGGCTTACCCAAAATGTTAGGGCAAGGCTTTATTTAAGAAATTTTGTTTTCACATGCTTATTGATCTATCTGCCACCACACCAAATATTTTCACCTGTTAAAGAGGTTCTGTAATTGATTTTTGTAAAAAGGAGAATAAAATTAGTGTCAATAAAATAGGAACCTTTACTTAGTAGTGCACTAATGCATTCTTTTACTAGAGGGGGAAGAAAACAGATTTTTTCAAATATGAGCTTAGATATAAGAATATACAACAAGAACGATTTTCTATACTTTTTTAGTACAACCACGAAAATTGGGGACAATAAAGAACCCCAGAAGGCAAGAAATGTGAACATAGAACTAGACAATAAAACTTATATGATAGCAACATTATTACCCATGTTTTATATCATTTGTGGACAGTCATTAAACAATTCCATCAAACAAGGAAAAATGAAGGAGGTGTTAAAAGGGAATGGCTCTTAGTAAGTTAGTAGCAATTAGTGAAAAGATAGAACAAGAAACCTAAGGCATTTTTAAGAAGCCAGAGGTAGCATTAACCAAAGAAAATGTAAGCAAGCCGTTGGACAGTAAAGAGGAGTGCTTTGCTGTAGGTGGTCCTACAAGGAAAAGAGGATGGCCAGAAAAGTGTAATGATTAAAAGTGAGAGAACATAATGCTATTGATGTTAACAAAATCCAACATATGGTAGGATGGTGAAAGCATTCTGCATAGTTTACATGAAGAAGTAAGCTGAACTGACATTATCAATAAATAATTAGGATATACTATATAGGACTTAATTAGGTTGTAATGAGTTTGGTTATTTAATAAAAGCCAAAATCTTCACCAGTTGCAACAAATCTCAGCATATGAACAAAGATTATCTTAAGAAAAACATGGACACAGTCAAACAACCTTTTAAAATCCAATTTCGATATTGCAGGAACCATTCAATAAGTCTAATGGTCAAAAATATGTGAATTTTAATATTAACCATTATTAAAAACCATCTACTCTAAAAACTTAAGCTATTAGATAGGGTAATATTTAAATCCTCTAACACACCCCCTCACGTGTGACCTTCTTTTTTGGTCCAACATGTGTCAATTTTAATTAGCAGGGTGATCATGATGTTTGAACTTAGGACCTTGCCTTCTCTGATACCATGTCAACTATTATCTACTCTAAAAACTTGAGCTATTAGAGAGGGTGTAACTTTAATATTCAAATCCTCAACACCAATCAATAGGGGCTACAAAATTTATGACCTAGAAAAGTTGAATGCTATATGTGAAATCTAGAAAACAGGGGATCTTTGCATCCAAATTCAATGGCAAAAGGTTACTAGGGTGGAGAAGCAATCACATTTTCTGAAATAGATGGTATTTTTGACCTCTTAGTTCCTTCTTATTGCTCCACTTGACTATCACAAGTTACGCATAATAGAAAAGGGTAAGTGAAATGTATATTCCATAATGGATATATCAAAAATATATTTAGCATTATAAACCCCTCTTTTTACCAGAAATAAAGTCAAAGGAGTGGTGATATTAGCATGTTCACTTTAATAATTACATGGAATTAGATAGACATAGAAATTGACCATGCTATTTACTTTTTATTAATTTACTTTTCTTTTCTTTTTTTCTATTTTTTTTTTAAAATTTAGTAGGATATTCAAGAAGATGAAATGTTGTTTCCAGTCTTTCCCCACAAACCATCTTATCTTCAGCTTATACTTCAAATTTGAACTACATAAAAAATGAAATTCTTTTTTTTAAGAAATTCAATAAGATAAAATGTTGTTTCCAAACAAACCATCTTATCTTCAGCTTATTCTCAAAATTTGAACCACATGAAAAATCCATTCCTTTTGTTACTAATTTTCGATTCTTTTTTAATAGTAGAAAATCCACAAAGTTTGAGAAGACACAAGGGAAGAATTAGAGCTTCTAGGGGAGCATAAGAGCCAGGTCAAGCCGTCCTTTCATGTGTTTGGGCTCAGTTTAGGCTTGGTTCAAACTATTAGAGGCCAGGTAATCAGGCTTTGAGCATCATTTTTAAGCAAAACCCTAGCTCAACTTGCTTGGTTCGAATGCTGAAACCAACCAAAACTTCTTTTGGCAAATTAAAGAAAAAAAAAAATTTCCGGATCTAACTAGAGGAACAAAAATAAAAGAAAGAAACCTTGCAACTGTTGTGGAGGACTTCCCCCTCCCCCTTCCCTCCAAAAAAAAGAAAGAAAGAAAGAAAGAAACATAAATGTAAGTACTACCAAATCCATGCAAGATTATCTACCAAATCGAGATCAACGGTGATTTAAATGTGAAGCCATTTGATTGAAAAGATTGGGAAAAGTAATAACGGGCTAAGTTCCAACACTAAAGGATATCATAAAGAGTAACATGAAGGTCCAAACAAAGTTGTTGAAGATTGTCAAACAACTTAAATCTGATAAAATAAAATGAACAATAACTATGACAAAAACCATTTCATTCTAAAGAACATAACCCACTATCATTTAAAGGTCAACAAGCTAAACAAATTACCCATTTTCCGAAAGTAAAGAAAATTGGTGATGAGTCGCCAGAATTGATAATGCTTGACCACAAGTTTAGGGTTCAAGTACAAGTTGTAAGGAGAGATTATCTGCCAAAAAAAAAAAAAATTGTAAGCATATAATCAGCATAGAATCATAGATGGAAAAACAACAAAGCAAAACTCTATTTTTTTTAAAAAAATACTCACAACAAACAAATTGAAATAAACCCCAAAGGATCATTACCCAATTGCATTGAACCGGTCTTAGAAACTATCAGACGATGGAATTACCAAATAAATAAAATAAAATAAGAAAGGTATCAGACATGAGAATTATAACTCTATATTACTGCATACAATGGTTGGTTTGAAATAGAAAGGGCATGGAAGAAGATAGTTTATTTGACCAGTCCATTCAATTGGGATCAAAGCAAAGATGACAATGATGATATTATTGCATATCATTATATACACACATATCTATACCAACAAACATGTATACATATATAGAGAGAGGGGGAAGGCATACATCAAGTGAGCAACCGATGGTGGTGACAACTGCAGCAGTGAGATAGGAACGGGTTATTATAGGCATCTGCTTGTACCATTCTTCAACTGCTTGAGCCATTACTTTCCGATTTCCGATTCAATTCAACTCTAAAATCAGAACCCTTTTATGTAGATACAGATGTATAGAGAGAGAGAGGAGGGGAGAATTGGATTAGGACTGTACAGGAAAGAAGTAAGGGATAAAAGAACAATTTTTATATTTTGTATTTGTTCTAATTTTGTACGGGAATTCTACAAAGCACGCGAACTGTTATCGCGTAGCAAACACGAACCAACAATATGTATTGAATAATAAGTAATGACCAATCATCTACTCTGAGTGACATGTAGTGATGTCAGAGACACAGTGGGAGTGTATGGATTAGAACATGTCATCTTCTATGCGGGCGTTCACAGCATATAACAGTGGACTAGAACATCTCATCTTCTATGCCGGCGTTCACGGCATATAACTGTGGACCAGCGTGAAGGAATGCTTTAATTGATTGTACATTTTTTTTTTTTTTTTTTTTTTTTGATCGAGTGGATATAATTTCTGTGGGCCCATCTCATACGGTTCGTAAAACAAATATTCAAATATGAAAGAACAACCAACTACCAAGTCTCCGGATAAGCACGCTTAGGGCTCATTTGATACACACCTTATTTTAAGCGTTTTGCTTTTTTTTTTTAAAATAAAACAGGAACAATATTTTTATTATAGGAATGTTTTGAAAAAAAATTAGAAATACGTTTGAGAACAATATTTTGCTGTAAAAATTTAAGCCCCGTGTTGCGCTATTGGTTATGATTTTAGGCCATGAATAGTTGTTAAAATAAAATAAAAATAAAAATAAAAAATTAGCTTTTTAGTATTTTGGTTTTGGACAATTATTCACGAAATATTTTAGCACTGTGTAAAATAAAATAAGATCACGCCAAACATGCTTTTATTGCCAAAATCGACACTCCAACAATTCAAAAACAAAAACAGAAGAAACAAAACGCATGTTAAACGGGACCTTAGCTCACAACCATTAGAGATCCTCTGGAATACAAATTTTTGACTTGTATTCTTTTGTGTATAATCTTATGGATTGATAAATACCTCTTAACCATGTTTCAGCTTAGTTGAATTTACAAAACTACAGTTAAAGTTGCAAAACCTTATAACTTAAGTTTACTCGAAATTGTAGCACCTCTAATTCGAGTTTGCACCATATATAGGTCGGGGTAAGTGCAAAAAATACCCCTAAAGTATACATTTCATAGCACTTTTACCCCCTATTTAAAAAGCTATGCAAAAAATACCCTTATTCTTTTCAATTTGTGCAAAAACAACTTTCAATTAATAAAATGCCCATTTTACCCTTTTACTTTTTCAAAAATGCCTCTTCCAAACCTTACTCTCCACCCCAAAACTGCAACCACCAGGCAAGACCAACGCCGTCATCACCCTTGGTCACATCAGAGTCAGTTAACAAAGTCTCAGTGTGGGAGATGCAAGAAGGGGTAGTAAATAAATGGCAGATGTCGCTTCTTCAAAGAAACGATAAAATATAGCCTATCCAAATTGTAAAGACTCTTGAGGATACCAAAAATAACCTGGGCCAGGCACAACCCAGATTACTGGAAACGGGTCTGGAAAGAACATTTTGTTTAATCAAACCATCACTTATTGGGCCCAAGACCGAAAGATCAATCTAGAAGCCCGTTCTCAAAGCTAAAGAAATGGGCTCATATCCGTAATGAGCCCAAAGGATCAGCCCAGTGTGAAGAATCAGTTATGAAGGCTTCTAGAATGTTGGTAGCAGTCTATAAATAGACTGAAAATAGAGGGAAAAGGTGTTAAAAATTTCTTGAAGTGTAAAACTATTCTTGTATCTTCAATGGCGCCGTCTGTGGGAATCGATCAAGATTGATTCATGAAGTAGAAGCTTGATCTCTGGAAGTTGGATTCAGATCGGTGAGATTATGATCTGTCTTGCAGAGGCTTGGTTCTAATTGATCTTTGGACATTGGAGTCGGATCTGCACAATCGCCATTTATTTTGCGGAGCCAAATCTGACGAGCTCACGGCAGTGAAGATTTAGATCCAACCGAATGAGATCGAAATTCAGCCAGTCCGAGACCAGATTTAGTGCATTCGCATTAGCAGAGTTCAGGTCTGATCAAGAATTCACGGTTGATGACTCTGCTCCGATCAGGAATGATGATATGAGGTGAAAGTTTCAATCCACAGGAGAATGACCAGCAAACAAAGCTTGACGAATTGATAAGCATGATTGAAGCTTTGAGAAGAGAGAATGCGGAATTGAGAGCTGGAATGGAGCATTGAGAAGTTCCGATTATTCCACGACCGCCTTCGGTAGGCGAAAAAGTTGTGCAAACGAATGTTGCTCACCAGGTTGAACAGAAAGGGAACGTTCACATGGATTTCCATCGCGAAGAAATCAGGCTCGACGATATTCAGCCAAATGTTCACCTTGTAGAAGATCGGGATGGATCTGTCCATTTGGATCCACATCGCGAACGGATTAGAAGAGAAAGTTCATGGAGATCGATCCATACCGTGAGAGGCTTAGATGAGAAGAAATTGTGGAGTTCGGTCGCAATAAGGCCACACCGTCATGGTAGAGGGAGTTAACGGAGGAAAGGTCGTTCGATCCTCCTTACCGATCGTCAATGGCCACGTATGACTATAAAAGTTTGGACATGAGGTCTGTTAATCAAAAGGTACGCATTCCCTATCAGCATAAAAGTAGTTAGCATCTGGTTCTGCACTTCGATACAGATTACCATCAGAAGATGACGTTCGCTCTCCTATTTCCACTGATATGCTAACATGACATCCGTGGGCCCTGCAAATGATGGTGGATTCCCTCGGATAAACGAGTGACGAGATTTGTCCCATGAAATTGGCTGTGCTACCGGTTCAGTAGCAGGTTCCATCTGAGGAAGTTGCTAGTTTCGTAAAGCAGATGCTACTCCTGCTGCTACAGCTCGTGCAATGATATCAACAACTTGAGGAGTAAATTCCTAATTCTCATCTTGATTTGGGGAAATACTGTGATTTCTGTTCGCACTCCTAGTCCCACGTCTAACCATCCTTCTGTCGAATTAGAAAAATCTAACGTCAGTACATTATAATGGACCGACTAAAAGAGTACAAAGAACCCTATTACTTAGACTCTAGTTATCAGAATACACAACGCGGAAGTATAGTAACCACAGATCCCTAAGACACTCGAATCTAGAATGCTCTGATACCAACTGTGACACCCCGATATTTTCCACGCATAAGTTGATCAGGCTTATATACGAAAAATGAGAGATATAAAAAACAATCGGTAATATACAAGCATGGAATACAAAATGCTAATGATAGAAGAACTTAGACAAGAAAAGAAAACTAAATACTAAAACATCCATCCATCCTTTATTAAATACAATACTCCTTTATACAACTTGGAAATCATATGTCAAGGATCCCTAAATATAACCTGAAAGTTCAACGTCGGAAATAAATAAAACTGAAATCAAAATAATACATAAAACTTCTACCTTGAACAAGACCGTAAGAGTAGATGAGTTCGGATGGTGGTCCCACACTGCTAAGCCTCAACCTTGAAACGGGTACTGACCGTGTCCTGAAATAACAACAATGGTAGGTTAAACCCACAAGCAAATCCTTTCTACTATAACCCAAATCAAATAATCAAATAAATTAATCATTATTATTCAGAAATATACTATATCTGTATACACCCTAATGAAACTACACAATGTATAATATGACCTCAACCAGAATAGACGGTGATCACTTAGACTCACACGAGGTGGTTAAGTGTCTCCTTTCCCTACCTGGGAAATCAGCTATTAATACAAGGTGCACAGTACTGACAACACAGACTATAAGTCATACACAGTGGTAACACATCTCAAGGTACTAATGAATATACTGAGCACATCACTTAGGCAACACATGCCAATAATATTAAACCACATACCCCGACAGTCACACATCTGTCTATGGCAACGAATGCATAGGTATAAATGAGTCTCAACTTATTAGTCAGCTCACATGGTTCTATATGGCAACACATCCATATAATCTAAATGCGACATAATTTATTAAGCAGTCCATTTAGTACCTGAAATGCACACAGCATAATCATAACAACATAAATAATCACATAATGTATAATGGACAATTTATATGAATAAAATCATGTAATCATTTAATTTAACGTTAATGATTAGTACCATTTAATAAAATAATAACATAATTAATAAATATGTCATTAAATTAATTACATCTATTTAATAGCGATCCAAACTGTAAACGATACAATTAATGTTTAGAAATATTAATTGGACATTATAATAATTAACGGGTAATAAAATAATAATTTAATGTCCCGTTAATCCCGAAAATACCAACCCGAGGCCTAAAAATGCAAGTTGAAGGTTCTGGAAATTACAAAACAGTCCCTAGGGGTATTCTGGACTTTTCCAGCAGCTGTAAAGGTCCCACACGCGCCCTCACGCGCCTCCCAGAGCTTCCTTACGCGCGGCCTAAGTTTTCTCACACGCACACGCGCTCACACGCGTGTTTGGAGTCAGCTACGCTTGTACGCGCTGCCACGCGCGCGCTGATGCTCCCTGCTGACGTGGCGCTTCCTGGTTCGTTAGTTGCATTAAGTCTCCGTGGGCGTGCTGCACTAGATTAATCTACTGATCCTAAATTAATCCTACGGCTGTTGATGCGTGTACATCGAGATACAATGTTCTGCATTACATGCAATTGATCTACTGATTGCTATTAAATCTAACGGCTGTTGATGCATGCGCATAGTAACCCTTGTGCGCTTCATCACGTCGGATCACTTCGGTCACCTTCCTCACTGCCGGTGGCCGGAAACCTCGCTAGAGTCTCGCCGGAATTTACAGAAATTTCCTGAAAACTCTTAGAAAATTCTAAAAAATCCCTAAAGCCTTAAATAATTATTTTTAGCTATATTTTAATTACATAGGCTAATAAACAATTATCTAACACCTTTAATAATTAAAATCTCATTACTTTAATAAACTAAAAATTAATTTATTAAAATTCCTAGCATGGTTTCTAACCTCTAAATAGCCGAAATAAATTAATTGAATAATTTATGGATTCAAAGGGGAAAAGTAGATAATAACTTGCC